TCTGTCTTCGACTACAAAGAATGTAATCAGTCTCATTTTGGTATTGACTATTTGGTGATGTCCATTTGTAAGTTGTCTCTTGTGTTGTTGAAAAAGGGTGTTTGCGACTCCTATGTATAGAACAGACTTGTGGACTCTGGGAGAAGGCGAGGGTGGGATGTTTCAAGAGAACAGCATTGAAACACGTATATTATCTAGGGTGAAACAGTTCACCAGCCCAGGTTGGGTGCACGAGACAAGTGCTCGGGCCTGGTGCACTGGGAAGACCCAGAGGGATTGGGTGGAGAGGGAGGTGGGAGGGGGGACCAGGATAGGGAATACATGTAAAAAAAAAAAAAAAAGATACACTATGGTTGTGATAAAAAAAAAATAAATAAATAAAATTAAAAAAAAAAAAAAACTAGGAATAAAACCACCATATGACCCAGCAATCCCACTTCTAGGCATATACCCTGAGGCAATCAGGGTTGAAAAATACACCTGTATCCCATTGTTAGTTGCAGCACTATTTACAATAGCTAGAAATGGAAGCAACCTAGATGCCCATCGACAGATGAATGGATAGAGAAGTAGTGGTCCATATACACAATGGAATATTACTCAGCCATAAAAAGGAAAGCATTTGAGTCAGTTCTGATAAGGTGAATGAACCTAGAACCTATTATACAGAGTGAAGTGAGTCAGAAAGAGAAAGATAAATATCATATTCTAACACACATATATGGAATCTAGAAAAATGGTACTGAAGAATTTATTTACAGGGCAGCAGTGGAGAAACAGACATAGAGGATAGGCTTGTGGACATGGGGAGAGGGGAAGAGAGGGTGAGATGTATGGGAAGAGTAACATGGAAATTCACATTACCATATGTAAAATAGATAGCCAACAGGAATTTGCTGTCTGGCTCAGGAAACTCAGACAGGGGCTCTGTATCAACCTAGAGGGGTGGGGTGGGGAGGGAGATGGGAGGGAGGTTCAAGAGGGAGGAGATATATGTATACCTATGACTGATTCTTGTTGAGGTTTGACAGAAAACAAAATTCTGTAAAGCAATTATTCTTCAATAAAAAATAAAGGAATACTGGAGCAGAAAAAAAAAAAAAAAAAAAAAAAAAAAAAAAAAGAAAAAGGGTGTTTGCTATGACTGGTTCTCTTGGAAAAATTCTGTTAGCCTTTACTCTGCTTCATTTTGTATTCCGAGGCCAAACTTATCTTTTTACTCCAGGTATCTCTTGACTTCCTACTTTTGCATTCCAGTCTCCTATGATGAATAGGACATCTTTTTTTTCGTGTTAGTTCTAGGATGTCTTGCAGATCTTCATAGAACTGATCAGCTTCTTTGGCATCCGTGGTAGCGGCATAGACTTGGATTACTGTCATGTTCAATGATTTGCCTTGGAAATGAACTGAGATCATTGTGCCATTTTTGAAGTTGCACCAAAGTACTGCATTTCAGGTTCTTTTGTTGACTATGAGGGCTACTCCATTTCTTCTGTGGGATTTCTGCCCACAATAGTAGATATAACAGTCATCTGAATCAAATTCACCCATTCTCGTCCATTTTAGTTCACTGATTGCTAAGGTGTCCGTGTTTACTCTTGCCATCTCCTGCTTGGCCACATCCAATTTACCTTGATTCATGGGCCTAACGTTCCAGGTTCCTGTGTACACTGTTCTTTACTATCATCATTGAATTGATTGGACTTTACTGTCATCACCAGACACATCCATAACTGAGCATTGTTTTCACTTTGGCCCAGGTGCTTTATTCTTTTTGGAGCTATTAGTAGTTATTCTCTGCTTTTCCTCGGTAGCATGTTGGACACCTCCTGACCTGGGGGGTTCATCTTTCAGTGTCGGCAAGAATTCTGGGGTAGTTTGCCATTTGCTCCCCCAGTGGATCACATTTTGTCAGAACCCTCCACTATGACCCGTCTGTCTTGGGTGGCCCTGCATGGCATGATTCAGAGCTCATAGCTTCATTGAGTTATGCAAATCCCTTTGCCATGACAAGGCCGTGATCCTTTAAGCATCATGTAATGTCCCTCATTGTCTCCAGCTATTTTCTTTGCTCCGAAGTCTACTCACTGGATAGCATATAGCCATTGTACTTTTTTTTGGTTTATGCTTGTATGGTATATCTGTTTTCAGTCTTTTACGTTCAGCCTTTGTATTTGAAGAAAATTTCTTACAGACAACATATTATTGGGTCTTTTGTTAATCTATACTCTGCCAGTGTTTTGTGTAGGTCTCAGCCTAGCAATGCTGTTACTTGGGCATGTCTGGGGGCACTCACTTGGACCAGTTTTGTGGCTGGACCAGCCTTTGTGGTTCTTATTATGATTAAGATGCACCTCAGCAGCACGTATCAGAGAACCCCGAAAAACAAGGTTTCATTGCTGGCAGGTCCTGACACAACATGCCTCAGGCCACACGTTAAGGAGTAAGAGGAGATGTGGGTAGGGGGCCACAGGTCATCCCTGGGCTTCTGCCTTTACTGAGGTGGAGGGCGAGGTGCCTAGGGTTTAGGTCATTTATATTAAAGGTAACTACTGATGCGTTAGAGCTTAAGTCTGCCACTGTGTTTTCTGTATGTTTCCTCTTTTTCCTTACTTTTCTGTGAGTTTTATAAAAATATTTTTTATTCCATTTTGATATATTTTTAATGCCTGAGTATATAACTTCATACAGTTTGCTTAGGTGTTGCTCTTGGCATTGCATTATATGTACTTTTCCCAGTCTAATGATCTGTGTCTTAATGGTTAGATTGGAAGTTCGTATGCTTGTCTTTTATCTGTCATCTTTACTAAATTGTTCATTCGTAGTTCTTCATTACTTCTGGTACTTGTCTTGAATTCTACATATCGTTGTATTTTATTTTTATCTTATCGCCAAGCAACACAAGTCTATTCTGTTTTTCAACATCAGTGGTGATCTCTGTCTTTTCATTTTACTGTATAAATGAGAGATTTACTTGCACTTTGCCCCTCTGCTTCTAAGTTTTTATGATACAGTCTGGGTGTTTTAAGTCTAAATTTTTATCTGACTACCTCTGATTTTCATTTTTATATGATATGTCTTTAGATCCTCTCTGACTTCACTCCAGCTCTCCCCCTCATTCCATCTACTCCACCAGTAATGAGCTTTTTGTTTTTCCTTTTTCCATCAGGCCTTTGCATTTGTTGTTCCTGCTGCCTGAATTGCTTTGGTTTCTCACCTTATAAAAGGTTTTTACTGTCATTTGACGTTCTCACTAAAACCTTCCCTGGTCACCCCAAGTTATAATTCATCCCCTCATCTAAACCCCCAATTCTCTTCCCTACTTGGTTTTCTTTTCATAGCACTTATGACCACCTATGTACTGTTTTATCTATTAGCTGATTTATTGTCTGTTTCTCTTTGTTAGAATATAAGTTCCATGAAGGCAGGGGTTTTTCTGTATTTTGTTTTATTCCTGGTACCCAGAACAGAGCCTGGCACATATGGGTACTCAATAAGTCTTTATTTAAATGACTAATCTTCATCCATTTAGCATTTTTCCTTCTTCAGTTAGAACTATCAGGCCAAAGGACATGTTTTTTATTAATAGTTCTTTGTATCATTTGCCATATAACTTTTTATTTGCTTTCTTTCCTATTTATTTATATCAGGTAATACTTTTCAGTGGTTTAAAACTCAAATAGTATAATAGGGTTTGTGTTGAATAGTATTCCTCCCATGTCCATGGTCAAGCACCCTACTCTTCTCCTCAGAAGCAATTAGCTTTGTCACTTTCTTGATACTCCTTACCAAGATAGTCCCATACAGCTTCCTGGAACGTTGATAAAATATTTTGCAAATTGTCTGTCCAGTCCTGTTCTTCCTTCTGTCTGTTGCTCAGTCCTTCTCGGGGGGCAGTGGGCATCATTTTTGAGAGAATGTCACTAGCGAGCTGTCATGCTAGGTGCTGAGGGAGTGATACAGTGAAGAACTATTTTTCCCATGCTCTTGAAGTTCAAAATCCAACTGGGGTGGGAAGGTGTCCACGCTTAAAAAGTAACACAGGATTTTAAAAGATCAAGATGCTACATGTGAAATATCATGAACATTGAATTATTAACTGTTGAATGAAATCTAAGTAACAAATACCAGGAAAATTAGCTCATCAATGCAGAGAGTGACTCCATCTATTAGGGAAGAATAAATTGGCTTTGGATAATCTGAGAAGAGTATAGAAGAAGGAAAGGAGTGTATTATACCTTCTGTGTGTTTTCAAACATGATATTGGAGATCTTACTAGCAATATATTTTTATGCTGTATTTTCAAAGAAGAACAAAGTCCTTCTCTTGTGAAGGAGAGACTATATTTGCTTATGACAAAGTCAGTGAGAGGACTTGCTGTAAAGATGTACCAGATGCAGTAGGGATTCAGGGAGAAATCGTAACCATTTGGGGAAATCAAGAAAATGTTTATAGGGAATTCATGATCAAGACAGATCTTGAAAGAGAAGTAATCATAGCACAAAAGGATAATGCTAGTGGAAGACTAGTACAGGGATTAGCAAACCATAACTCTTAAGCTGACCACTTGTTTTTGTAAATAAAATTTCACTGGAGACATAGTCATGCCCATTGGTTTATGTATTGTCTGTGACAGCTTTCCTGCTGTAGTGGCAGAGTTGAGCAGTTGAGATAGATCACAATAGTCTGCAAAGCTTAAAATACTTACTATTTAGTCTTCTACAGAATGTTTGCTGTTCCCTACAAGTAGATAGACTCTGGGTGGGAAAGTATTATTGCTAACTATTAAAGAAATGAAAATGGCATATTTATTATGGCTAGAGAGGGAAGTCAGTAATAGAAGATTGAGTGGTTAAAGAGGAGGTTAGCCTTGAGGGAATTTCATAGGAAGACCATTACTGATAGAGAAGTGAAGGGCCTCTCTAGGATGGGACAGTAGTTCCTTTAGGCATAGATGTGGCCTCTCCTTAATCATACTTTCCTAATCTTTCCGTCACTAGCCAAGAAGGATCAGGAAGGTGGAGAAGAAAAGAAATCTCTGCAAAAGAAAAAAGTGAAAGAATTAAAGGTGTTGGATTCCAAGACAGCCCAGAATCTCTGTGAGTAACTCTGCGATCCCGGCAATTTGAAATGTGAAGTTCTTCTTCTGAGAGCCTAATTCTGGTGGATCCAGGGTCTCTTGATGTGAAACTTAATAATTCCTGCTATATACTTGGCATTGCATAGTAAATATCTGATACCTACTCCCTTCAATAGTACCGCCTGGTTGTTAGTATCTAGTTTTATGGCAAGAAAATAAAGGCAATAGGACTTTAAGGAATTTGCCTCATCACATAGAATAAGAGACAGGTCTAAGACTTAAGCCTCAGGTTTTATTTCAGAGCCCTTACTATTTCCATTGCATCCATAGAAAATCTAAGAAAAATTTTCTACCCATCCTATATTTCCTTCTTTTTCATTTTCTTTTAAGTATTTCCTTTATAGGTGGGTACTGGCCTGACTTCAGTTAAATGTAAAATAACTTTGTGGTTTAGAATAAATAATGTAAATCCTGTGCTTCTCAGAGTAGGATCAGTAGCTTCAAAGAGTTCTGTTCTGAACTTGTTCCTTATATTCATAACTCTGCTTGCTGGCAAATTTCCGATCAAAACTCCTCTGCAGAGTTGTTATAGGTCGTATTTAATGATCAGGATGAATGTTCATTTTTTTTGTTCATTTTAACTGTCGATCTCCTGACTTTATGTTGAGTAATAAAGATTTAAATATTCATTCAACAAATATTTGAGGGTCTGCCAGCTTTCAGGCTCTATTAGGAACATACTAGGCATGTGTTCCAGCAGCAGCAGGCACGTGTTCCAGAGATGAAAGGGTATGTATTCCATAAAACCCACTCACAGTGGGGTGACGTGGCTATTGTCTCCATTTTACCAAGTGAGAAAACTAAAGTTCAGATGTTACGACTTAGCCAGGGTCACACAGTTAACTTCTGGGTATGTGTCCTCGTTAAGTCAGTAACATAATGAAAACAGTAAGCTTTTACATCATTCTTGACTATATAATATTAGATCATTGACAATAAATACCACTAAGTAGTGTCTGTAGATAAGTCTTTTTATGGGAGCTAAAGTGATGTGAGGTATAGTAGTTGCTCTTCTCAAGATTATCTCTAGCAACATAAAAATGAGTAATTTTTATTTTAGAAAATGATAAAAGACTGTGGGTAGTACATTGTTATTTCCAGTTGAATGATATCAATATGGAAAACAAAATTCAGGGAGAGAATTGAGTTTAGGATGGTCTAGGAAGTATTATTTAGTGATTCAGTGATTATTAAATGCCTCTTATATGGCAGGGATGCAAAACTGAATAAGGTCATCCTCGTGAGCCATATGTCTGGTGGAGATGAAAAAATAAATATGGTGATAGCACAGTTCGGTGAGTGCTGTGATGGAGGTGTGCCTGGGTGATTATTAGAGCACTGGGCAAGGGGGTGTCTGAACCAGGTGGGAGGAGCGCTGGAGGGTGCTCAGCCTCGAGGTCTTTCTCAACGACTTAAAACTGTTAACAGCAGACTAAAGGAAGGGTGAGGTCTGGCTTGTTTCATTTCAGGCATAGGGATCAGCGTTGTGAAGGCACCGAGGCATGAGATAACATTGTCCCAGTTCAGGAAGTGCAATAGTTGAGAAGAGCTGAGTAAAGGCCGTATGTGGGGGAGTCGTGGTTGAAGTTTTCAAGAGAGAGAGGATAGATGATACAGACATCTTGGTAGGCTTAGGCCAAGAGGTATGTATTTTGTCCTGAAAACTGTGGAAGTTATTGGATGGATTTTAATCAAAAAAGTGAGAGATACAGCCCTCTGTAATTTGGGGGAGGACTACTTCAGCAGTGATTTTGCAGCTGGATTGCTAGGGGAGGGGGGGATGTGTTATGTTATTGCTTCAAACTAGGTGAGAGGTGATCAGGGCTGAAACTGAAGTTGTAAGAATGGATATGAAGGCAGAAGATACTAAGAAGAGAGAATTAATGGAACTTAGTGATTGATAGAAAAGAGAAAGATGTTTTCTTGGGTTAAGATCTCTCTAAAGAGAGTGCTACCCTTTATTGAAGTAGAATCTGCTCCTGCTGGATTTTCCTGTCTTTTGTGGGAGAAGTGGTGGACTTGAATGAGAGGCTTCAGGGTGGTGGGTAGAAATGATTGATTTAATTTTAGGACAGAATTTAAGATTCCTGTGGGGCTCCTCCAGCAGTGTATTAGGCATTTGGGTATATCAGGCGGAATGTCTGACTGGAGATATGAATTTAGGAGGATATCATATGAGTCAGAGTTAAAACCCTTAATTTGCTTTGAAAGTCATTAATATTGAGGTGGCAAGTAACAAAAAGGGGAGTCCTCAAAAAAACTGGAAAGGAGCAGCAAGGAAAATAGTCTGACACAGTCCTAAAAGTGGGAGTAGCAGTCGAGTAAAATCAGGATCTGGCATTAGGAAAGGCAGTGACCTAGGCAGGAATCATTTCAGTATAGCATCAGTGGTACAAACAGAACTCTGGAATCCATTTGTATTTAAATCCTGGCTCTAGTCCTTAGTAGCAGTGTGACCTTGGACAGGTGGGTTAAGTTCTTCAGCGTTAGTTTCCTTTTCTGTCAAATGCGGCTAAAAATAACAAACTTATACATTATTATAAATACGGTTCAATGAGATCATATGTGTAGATTGTGTTTTTGATACTAGGTCTTACATGGAATATGCAGTCAACAAATGATTGTCATTTTTCCACTGACTTTGTGGGGACAGAAGAAGAGTTAATGAGAATGTGGAAGAGAGAATAGACTGGTGGTGTTTGTTCATTTGTTTTAGATAGAAAAGGCTTGATTATGTATACAGTTGTCCCTGACATCTGTGGGGTTCCAGGACCTCCAGCAATACCACAGTCCACAAGTACTCGAGTCCTTTGTATAAAACGGTGTGGAACAGTCTGCCCTCTGTATCCATGGATGCAAAAGACTGTCTGTATATGCTGAAGGAAGAGGTCCTTAAGGCCACCTGTGCTATTGAAACATGAGAAAAGGATGGGTGCATGGATATAGTTCTGCTCAACTTACAGAAGTGTCAGTGCACATTTTCTTCTAGATGATTCGAAAATGGTCCTTACTCAAGCCTTTTCTAGTCTGGTTCTAGCTGAGAGCCCCAGTGCTCAGTTTGTAAGTGACATAAGAGAAAGCTTAGCAAGTAATTTGACCAGTACCTTCAATTTTTCACATTAAAAAGAAGCAAGATCTTTTTAGAACAAATAAGGAAGTGGTGGGACATTTGGGAGAACAGGGCTATTTTTTATGGAGTTGCTGGCAAGAGAGCATGGGCTGGGGACACGCAGAGGGTTCCTGCCATCATCAATGCCAGTTCATAGAATCTGATCTGCGGTGTCCATCAGCCCAGGTGTAAGGGGAGAAAATGAGATGGCTAGGTTAACCAGGGACTGGAAGGAGAAGGAAACCAGAGAATAAGAATTGTAGTAGTAATAGGGCGGGAGTGAAAGGGTAGACCACAGGGTCTAGGTTAAACAGAGAAAGCCAACTAGAACTGAGACATTCAGAGAAAATAGAATGGTCATCTCTCTCGTGAGAGAGTGCCTGCATGCAAGAGCACACTGATGAGGCTGAAGAGTCAATTTAGGAACTAGTGAGAGCTGGAAGGACGAGAAGTGTTTGTTAGGGTGTGGGATATGGCAGTTTAAAAATCAGAGCATTTCAAGGCAGTGGCAGCTCTGAGGATAGAGTCAGGGAATGAGGAACTAAATAGAAGGGGGTGAATGTTTTTGATGTATATAGATCAAAGATTTCCTGTGTGAGCAAAGACAAGGAGTCAGTCACAGTGTTTATAGAATATGGTGCTTGGAATGGTGTGGCTGGTGTGTGAGTGATACAGATGTGGGGATTCGCACAGGGGAAAACTGGGAGGTGGGAACCTGAAACACTGGGCTCAGAAACTTGGATATTAACTAGACAGGCAATGAGGAGCTGGCGGGGGTTTCTGATTGTGGCTTCAAGAGAGCACTCCTAGGAAAGTTGTCCAGTGTAGGTTTGTAGGATGGGCTGGAAGGCAGAAGAGACTGAGAAAAACATGTCTTTATATCTCATTTCCTGGCAGCAATCTTTTTGGGTTCCTTCCGCATGCCCTATCACGAGATTAAGAATGTCATCCTGGAGGTGAATGAGGCTGTTCTCACTGAGTCCATGATCCAGGTAAGGAGCAGGCTCATCCTGGCGCTGGCTCTCTGCATTGCTCAACACCAGTCTGTCTCCTCTCTGCTTAGACCATGAGGACTCTCTTAAGTATCATTGACTTAAAGAATGCTAGCTTTGGATGAGCTTCCATCCCTCTGGTGATCAGGTTATTTCTGGTATATTTTTCAAAAGTCCTGCCGTCTCACTGGCTGCCTCCCAACCACCAGACCCCAGCCCATGTTTCCTTATCGGTCCTCGGGCAGAGTGAGGGCCTGACAGGAGGGTCCCGTTGTCGACTCACCCCCCTCTAACTGAGACAATCCCTTCTCTCTTTCAGAACCTCATTAAGCAGATGCCAGAGCCAGAGCAGTTAAAAATGCTTTCTGAACTGAAGGACGAATATGATGATTTGGCTGAGTCAGAGCAGTTTGGTGTGGTGGTGAGTGAGGCCTGTGGCTCAGGCTCTTCTCTGACCCCCTCCTCCGCAAGAGCATTGGGACACTTGCTTACAGCCTCTTGTCCATTTTGAACCCATCTTTCTTTCTCCTCCCTACTCTGGAACTCATATCCTGCTATAGGAGGCTTAGGCCTGTATCGTTTCCTTCCTCTTCTCTGTCTCTGCTGATTGTAGTGGACTGATCCTCTGCTGTCTGCTGACTGTAGTGAAATGTTTGTCTCTCCTCAGATGGGTGCAGTACCCCGCCTGCGGCCTCGCCTCAATGCCATCCTCTTCAAGCTGCAGTTCGGGGAGCAGGTGGAGAACATCAAGCCCGAGATCGTCTCGGTGACTGCCGCATGTGAGGAGCTGCGAAAGAGCGAGAACTTCTCTAGCCTCCTGGAGATAACCTTGCTTGTCGGAAACTATATGAATGCTGGCTCCAGGAATGCTGGTGCTTTTGGCTTCAGCATCAGCTTCCTTTGTAAGGTGAGCGGGACGATGGGAGGCAGGCCATGGCCTCCAGGAGCCCAGTATGGCAGACTGCTGTTGGCCTGAGGTGGCCTTGGGTGTCAGGACTCACCCTCTTCCCCCTCTCCCCGCCAAGCTTCGAGACACCAAGTCCACAGATCAGAAGATGACGTTGTTGCACTTCTTGGCTGAGTTGTGTGAGAATGACCATCCTGAGGTCCTGAAGTTCCCAGACGAGCTTGCCCACGTGGAGAAAGCCAGCCGAGGTGAGGCAGATTGAGGTGAAGTTAGAAGGGGGTTCCAAGCCCCAGAAATCTCTGCTCAGGGCAGGGAAAGAATCAATCTAGATTTTAGATCATTTTCAGTTTAGACAGTTATAAGTGGGAATGGGAGGATACCAGTGTGGTGTCTAAGCCACAGGGAAGAATATGGGGCAGAAGAGAAAGTAAGAAAGCTCCATGTGTGAAAGTGGGACGCACTCTTCCCCTTCCTAGGGAAACATCAGAAAACAACTGGAAGAGAGGTAGGTATTTGTAGTTTAAGTCAGCAGTTTTTCTTATTCAGAAAGCATAGACTGGAATAACAAAAACCAGGCCTCACCATTCTGGGACTAGGCAAAGAAAAAGCAGCATTTTGTAGAAATGGGAACAGATTTCTGCCCTCCCCCTGTATTTCTGTGTATGTCTCCTTCCTCTCAAATCCTGTTCTCTAAAATAAATGAGAACAAGATCCTGAGGGATTTCATAGATTCTTGTTAAATTAAATGAAGCCTCTCTTCTCTTCTTAGTATTGTGCAGCTTATGAAGGTTGGAGGTTTAATCATCAAGTAATTTTAGTTTCACTGGAAAAATGTGTGAAACAATAGGAGAGTACATCAGAGAACTAAAATAATTAAGTACAGACCATAGCTGTGCCCTGAAGGACAGAATAGGGTCTTGAGGCTGGAGGTGGTGAGCTCTTGCTGTCTGTTTGTGTGTCTACTTTAGTTTCTGCTGAAAACTTGCAAAAGAACCTAGATCAGATGAAGAAACAGATTTCCGACGTGGAACGTGATATTCAGAATTTCCCAGCTGCCACAGATGAGAAAGACAAGTTTGTTGAAAAAATGACCATATCCTTTCTTGAAAGGAGGGAGTTGCCACCTAGAAAAAGAGCGAGCTTCCCATGGGGGGACAACAGGATAAACTGATGGTATACAATTCTTCCTCTTTAGAAAATGTCTAAGTACAGAGTTCTGAAAGCACTCTCATTGTTGTGGTTTGCATCAAGCCTTCCTGATAAAAGTATAAGTCTCCTTTGAGACCTTTCCCCCTGCCCCATCACACACACAACATATCCCCTCCCCCCACTCTTCCCAAAGATAACTACTGCCACTGGACTTCTGATTTGCAACCTGATGAATTTATTTTAATGAAAACTGCATTGTATTGCCTTAGCATCTAATATGTTTTGGCCCCGTTTCCACAGCAGTAGATGGAGAATAGTCTCCTTTCTGAATTGCCAGCCCCTGTTCTGTAGGAATACCATAGTCAGTGGTGTACTCTTTCCCTGTCTGGATGTTTCAGTTGCTTCTGGGTTTTGCTAATATGAACAGTGCTGTGTTACACGTCCACGTGCACAGATACCAGTACGCACGTGTGAGTGTCCCCAGGGCTGGAGAAGCGGGTCTGCTTCCTGGTGTTGGTTCTTGACTTGCTGCCGCACAGCTTTGTGAAGGACGCACAGGAACAATACAACAAGCTGCGGATGATGCACTCTAATATGGAGACGCTCTACAAGGAGCTGGGCGAGTACTTCCTCTTTGACCCCAAGAAGGTGTCTGTGGAAGAATTCTTCATGGATCTGCACAACTTTAAGAATATGTTTGTGGTAAGCAGGGATGGCTTTCCCTGGTGGCTCAGTGGTGAGTTCAGTCCCTGGGTCGGGAAGATCCCCTGCAAAAGGGAATGGCAACCCACTCTAGTATTCTTGTGTGGGAAGTCCCATGGACAGAAGAGCCTGACCAGCCTACAGTCCATGGGGTCAGAAGAGGCAGACACGACTGAGTGACTGAAAAGCGGCAGTAGCCAGCAGGGAGGCCTGCGAAGTGGAGCCTCTGTCCACCTTTCTCACTTGCCACTGGGTTCATGTTGGTTGATGGTGGGTGTGCACATGTGTGAGTGCATTTGTGTCCATGTGTTCACTCCCCTCTCCCCCCAGCAAGCTGTCAAGGAGAACCAGAAGCGGCGGGAGACAGAGGAGAAGATGCGGCGAGCAAAACTGGCCAAGGAGAAAGCAGAGAAGGAGCGGTTGGAGAAGCAGCAGAAGAGAGAGCAACTCATAGACATGAATGCTGGTGAGAAGCGAAGGGCCGCTGGGCTGAGACAGGATCAGTTGGAAGGCTGCTCTGTCTAGAAGCTAGAGGCCAGAGAACAGCTCATGTCTGAGCACAACTCCTTGGCAGATGCTGTTGGCAGCCTCCTACCTCCACGATCCTGATGCTGGACTTTAACCCTGACTCTGAACACCCATGCTCCAGTGCTCCACTCTGTCTTTTCCTCCTTTGCTGTTCCTGCACGATGTCTCGTCTCCGCAGTGACTTAGCGTTGCTGTAATATGTATTCTTGCCTTCTGCTTGTCCAAAAAACTCCCCGTCCGGTTTTCATACCCTCTACTACATGTTGTGCTCTTTTCCTCAGATTGTTTTCCTGGCCCTGCGCCTGTCTTTCAATGGGTTGTCTTCCCTTTCTGCTTATTTCACTCTGTTGTGTCCCCAGCACCTTCGCACGGCTGTACCCACCTATCAGACTGTGAATGGACTGGACTTCTAGAAGGGGGCAGGGGAACTGGCCACCCCTTCTTTCTTCAGCGGACTTTGTATTTCGCTCTCAGAAGCATGTCTTTGCTGAAACATATGGCCTCAATTACTGGCCCTCTGTTTCCTGTTTCTGCTTCTTTCCTGCTGCCGACTCCCTGCGCTCTCTGGCTGCTCTCTCTGTGGGCAGCGGAAATCCAGCATCCATTACATGGCCCTGAGCTGATGCCACCCTTCTTGACCCCGAGGGGCTACGAGCCATCTAAGTAAAGAGGTTCTCTGGGCTGCTGGGTCTGGCAAGAGTCAGTGCTGTGCTGAGCACAAGGGGCGAGGGGCCCCAGGGACTTGACTTTGGCCACTCCTGTTGTGGTTTGCTTAGGGACCTGAAGCACCCTGCATTTTTGTCTTTTCTTTATATTTTTTTGGGAAGCAGTTCCCCTGCCCTTACTCCAGTTGTATATAAGCCACAAACTGCTCTAATAATTAAACAAGCTCACGTGAGTTATCCTTCACCTTTCCCCCCTTCTCCCCAAGCCTTTAGGGTTTGTGCCTAGTTATTGTTTAGGGTGTAATAGGGAAAGGTGGAGTCCAGCTGATTTGTGGGATGAAGGCTGCACACAGTCGTCAGTCAGCACAGGGGAGCCTGCCCTGGTCCACGTCCCCAGGGCAAATAAATGAGGTTGGAATGTAGGTCAGCTGTACTGGTGGTGTTCAGCCAGCAGGTGGCGCTGGGAGCAGTGAGCCCAGCTTTACCACTGGCAGTCTGCTGGCTCCTGGGGATTTCAGTTTAAGATTTCACCACCCTTAGCTGTTGCCATGGAAACAGAGCCAGCTGGAATCAGGATTCTACATTAACTCTTTGTATTCCAACCAGCAGCTCCTCTTAGATTCTGAGCTGACTTCAGGAAGGTGTAGCCACTGGGGGCGGTACTTAAGTAAAATGCACTCTTGAGAGGTGGTCTCTCCTCAACCCTGCTCTGAAACTGGAACCAGGCTTTCCATGAGGGGTATATGTAGGATAAAGAGAGTGACCTAGTTCCTTATTAACTTCATAATCCCTGTCCCTGTACTCAACCCCAGTCTTGGAGTCAGGCAGTTCTCTCTGCTGGTTTTGATGGGGATGGGAAGGGAAGCGGCACTGCAGGAAAATTATCCAGGGTCTGCAGTGGCTGGTAGCCAATGAAACCTGATGTTTTAACCATTTGCAAACAGATACAAGTAAACATGGACTGTGAAACCTGAGATTGAGCCCACTGTGTGCTGAGCCCCCAGAAACTGTGGACGAGGGCAAGCTATACATACAGTGGAAATGCATTTTTTTGTGTGTGGGGCCCAACCCATGGATGCTCCTTGGGCTGAAGAGCTTACATCTCCATCTTTGTTCACCACAGAGGGTGATGAGACGGGTGTGATGGACAGTCTTCTGGAAGCCCTGCAGTCAGGCGCAGCATTCCGCCGGAAGAGAGGACCCCGTCAGGGTAAGTCAGTAAATGGAGCCCAGCCTGGGTGCTGAAGGAAGGCAGTGAGGCCTCTCTGCTCCTGCTCATTTTAGGCTAAAGAGCAGGCGATGATGTTCTGAGGGTTTAGAAACTTCCCCATGATGTCCCTACACGTAGAGTGGATTATCCAGTCCTCTTCTAATTGTTAGAAAGGACTGACATGGAGAACTAGGACTTGCGGAACTGACAACAGATACTACATTTGGTTATTCTTACATTTCTCTTCACTCTTGAGGCAGAAATGTAGGATAAGCAAACCGTCATGCAAGACACAGATTTGGGTAGGCATCTGGGTACATGAACAAAAAATTGATGTAAATTCCAAACCGTACATTAGATATAGGAATACAAGGAAAATAAGTGTCCTTACTCTCAACTTCACAAACAGAAGAAACAGAGGATAATAGTATAGAATCCTATAGAGAGAAGGCTGGGTGTCATTCTCTCTAGATGTGTTAAATAAGGATGTGGAGGAGCATCTTAACCAAAGCTCATGCTGTGTCTGAGAACCTCCTGTTTTCCCGAGGGCTAGTCAGGCTGCACCGCACTCGCCTTCCCTGTTTACCACCCTCCTCGGCTGCCTTTCAGAAGATTTAAGTGGATTACGTTGAGCCAGAGCCTCTAAGAAGAATTATGGGGATAGGACAAATGATCCAGGCATTAGTGTTCTGAAGCATCAACAGATAAATCACCTTTGAGGAAAGTGTATAGTGGGCAGAGACTGTTCCAGAAGAAGCTAGGTCCAGAGCTCCTCCTAAGAACCTGCACTGCACACTCTGGTGAAGGCCCTTTGGGACTGGGAATGCGGGCTTCCTTCCTTGGTTGAAGGGTGGGCATTACAGAAAAGACGGCCTTAAGCTTTGTTCCCTATTCCCTGGCTGGTGCATTCTGTAGGCCTGTGTGATAGGAACTTCACTTTGAGGCTGTTGTACAGGTAAGTTATGTGGTTTGCTGTGGCCACTGCTGAGCTATTAACAGTGGCAGCTGTAGGACCTGTAGCACCTACCTCAGCCTGTAAAGAGGACCTTACGATCCAGGGTATGGAGTGTGCTCGCCCAAACCTGTGGATCACTATGAGAATGCCTGCCTGTTTCTGCCAATATGCTGAATACCCAGAGGGAAATTCCCTTCTGAGGGCTCTTCTGTATGACTTCAAAACCTTCCCTAAACAGAAGAATGTCTAGTTATAACTCTTACCTGTTTCCTGGGATCCTCTGAGTACAGAGAGGTGAGTATGGTGGGTTTAGATCTTCTGAGATGTATGTTTAGTCTCATAGATCTGGATGTGGGTACAGTATGAAGCTAGTAGTATTTTTTGTGTTTAGTCTTGCAACATTGTTTCCTCCCCACCATGTACGGTGATGTGGCCTGACATTAAGCGTTTCTAGATAAACAAAAACACACCACGTCTCCCTGTTTTCCCCCATCCTGTTAGCTAACTGCCAGCCTTCATCAGGCTTGAGGTGGGGAATTCCCTTTTCATCTTCTTCCTGTGGAACTAAACCAGAATCCCAGATGCTTCCTGAACACAGGGAACCAGCCATCAGTGGCGTCCCTCTCCTGGGGACGCCCCATCGCCTGCTTCTTCCCAGGCGGGGAACCAGGACTTATAGGCCGGAGCAGCAGGGGTTTTGGTAAAACCTAACCTGTCAGCAGGGGACTTGAATTAGTCGAAGTCCTGTTTCCCAGTGCAGAAAGGAGAAGGAGGAGACTTAGGTGAAAAGGAGAACTACATACTTTTAGAATTGGCTCCATCCTTATCTTTCTGGGCTCTGGGGTCATATACACACTGAACATATCTGGGGGAATCTCTCAGGGGAAACATCTCTCGTTACTCTGATAACCCCTGTAGACATTGGAACATTCACTTCTGAGTAAGTGGCTTGGCGCCATGAAACAGAAGGCCAGGCAGCACAATAGAGCACCAAGAGCATAGGTCTAGGTGGGGTCAGAGGACCCAATGTCAGATCTAACTGATGCTGTCTAGATTACTCAAGACAAGTTTCTGGGACTCAGTTGCTTCATGTCTAAGATGAGAGTGGGGTTAAGAAGAGAAAAGAAAGGTTGGCCCCAGAAGGCCATACTGTAAAACTGTAAAGGCTCTGGTGACTGTGGGTTTCCCTGGGTGGCTACGGGATGTAGCTGGTTCACCCTTTGCTTGGCTGTCTCTGACTATTGCTGCCAACTGGCTGCTCTGAGCCAGAAAACCAGAGTGCTATCACACAGGTCTGCCTCACGGCCCTCCTCAATCCCAGAGAGGCAGCTGTCCATAGTCAAAGACACTGGCTTCTGCCCTAAGATTTAAAGGAATGTTTAAAAAAAATCTTCTGGTCTCTGGAGACCTGAGGGAGTGACCAGTGTACAAAGACCCATTGAGGAGCTGGAAGAGGAGAGTGACTATCAGGGCTGGTTCATTAAAAGTGACATGTAAACTGCCGTGATCTGCAGGGCGTGGGAGAACAATGCTGTGAGTGTCAGGGGGAAGAATCCATGTGATTGTATTACAGCAGATATTTCAGGCTGTATGAGTCAGCGTGTGGTTTTAATGACTCAACTTTATCTCCATTTCTGAAATGTGGCTTCTTATATACAGGCCATCTGCTCACTGGGATAAAAGTGAAGGAAAGAAAGAAATTCGTCTCCGTCTCCCTTTCCTTCCCCCTGCCACTTCCCAGCTTCCTGCTAAGCTTCCCCTACACGGATAGAACCTTATCCTTGGGACCAGCTCTAAAGACCTCCAGTGTTTAGCAGCTCACCTTCTCTTAGGTAACAGGGCTTGAAACCCAGGTAAGGTCTTGCCAGGATCTGCTGATAGAGCCAGAACCGGACCCCGCTTTTATGAATCCAGGTCCAGGACTCTTTCCACAAGGCCTGTGTGGTGAGCCCTCTGTGTGGGCCAGAGCTACTCTTACAAACACTCTCCTTCTGCCAAGGAGAGCCCTGGACATGGTGAAATCGGTTCAGGAAAGTTTCCAATGTCCACACGTCTAGAGAACTTAAGAGTGTTTCCTCTTACCACCACTTATATCTCCCTGCACTTCTGTATTAATAAAAATAGGACAGGAATTATAGTTAGGACTCTTTCAGACAGTAATGAGTTCTTCAGGGTGGTAATCATGGCCACATCTGTCCTAGTTTCCTCTTCCCTAAGGAAGCTCGTTAACAAGAGTACTTCCTCCATAATAGTAGTTCCTAGCCTGTGTTTTATAAATACCTTTTTCCAAATCATTAACCTTTTTCTAATTCACCTATGCCTGATTTTGCTCGTGTTTTTTATCTGGCTCGGCCCTAACGTAGGAATCTGGCCTCAGAGAGCTTTGACCAGTGTCTCAACATTAGGGCTCCCTGGTCCCACAGAAGCAAAATATGCTTCTGCTTCTGTGGCTACTTTTAAATAAGTCTCAACAAGTCCCCAGGTTAGGGAAGGGCTCGGAGAAGGCATCTGCTGGAGGCTCAGGCTGCGGCCCTGAAGCCAGGTGGCGGCCAGGATTCCTTGATCCTGTTCCCAGTTCCCACAGGAGTTTTCTGGTTCTTACCTTAGGCCACATCAGGTATCCCTAGTATAACCCACTTTCTAGGCTTAAAAGGGAAAGTTTGGTCTTTGCTGACTTACTCTCTACTCCATTTTTATGAATCTGTAATGCGTCAGCAGCATTTTAAATCTAGAAGAATATAGAGACATGCTTGACTAGGTACAGACTGGTATCTTCTTAGTTCAGAGGAAGAAATTGAGTTTCTTTCTTCCTCCTGCCATGAGGCAGACCTGTGTGATAGCACTCTGGTTTTCTGGCTCAGAGAAACAGCTGAAGATACTTCCCACTTGAATTCTGACTTTGCCCATGTTGTCCAAGATGAATGCTCCTGTAGCTCCTTTTCCCTGGGTTCAAAGTCAGGAAGTAGTATTTTAACATGTACTTAGCCCTTGAGTCACATACACACAAATATTATATAATTGGAATATTTTCTCAAGTACTGGTGACTGAATTCAAAGGATCAGCCACCACCTTTATGGACATGAGAAGTAGGGTCCTAGAGGAGGGAGTATTTCAAAAAAGAGCAAAAACCAAGCAGGTCTGAAGCAGATTTTGCTGGAGACAGGAGACCATCCTAGTCGCACTCCTATGGGACCCTTCCTTCCCTGGTCAGTCCCTGAGGCAGCATCACAAGGGCTGTGAAATCCTGTACTCTCTGCCGCATGCCTCCCCCTGTGCCTGCCAGCCAGGCTCTTCACTTGGTCTTTCTCCTCTTAGACAATCCCAGTCCCTGGGAGGAGGAGGAGGAGACCTATAAACTGGTAACCCGTGGGCATGCCGTGTGTTCGTTCCCTCTTACCTGGGTGTAGGCTCTGGGTCACGCTTCTGCAGAGGCCGACAGTCCTGGGGAAAGCCTGGACCTCCTGACCCTGTTTGGCTTCTGTCCCACCTCAAGCTTTTTGCTGGTCCCAGGAAGGCAGGGTGGACGCTTGCTTCACTGGCTCTTCAGGACCTCTTCCTTGCTGCTTGCACCCGCCGCTGCCCTGTCCTGCACTCAAGTGTGGCCTTCTGTCCTCTGTCTGCTTCTTCAAGGTGTAGGCACTGCTTTCTCCACCCAGCTTTCCTGTGACCCAGAAGCTGGGTTTTTTGTTATTTTAATTGATATATCAGTCACATTCCTAAAATTCACCCTTTTAAAGTATACAGTTGTGGTTTCAGTATACTCACAAGGTTGTACAGCCATCACCACTAATTCCAGAACATTTCGTCACCCCTAAAAAAGACCCCATGCCCACTAGCAGTCACACCCCTTTATCTCCTCCCCCAGGCCCTTGCGACCACATATCTAGTGTCTGGATTTGCCCGTTCTAGACATTTCATAGAAATGGAATTACAGCATCTGTGGCCTTTGTCTCTGGCTTCTTTGGCCCCAGGCAAGCTGCTCTTCATGCCCTGCAGTCTCTCTGGGTTGCTCAGAGGCGTGGGAAGCGGCAGACAGCAGGAAACAGGCTTGGTCCCAAGGATCGGCTTTCCGCTTGAGGATACCAGGACCAGGAATGTGGATTCTACGAATTAATGAGAGTCTTGGGGACAACTCCCAGCAGTTAGGACAGGAACTCTTGGAGGGACTAGTTCTTCTCTTCCTATTAGGGTGGCCACTGAAGCTTCACTAGCCCTTAGCCTGTCGGGCTGAGGTGTCTTTGTAGGGTTCTTCCTGGCCTCCCCAACATACCTTTCCTCACCCTTCCCCCTTCACACACCCACACACACTGCATACCTGCCCTTGGCCTTTGGATCACCACTGCTGCCCTTGAAGAGGTGGACAAGAGCTCGCTGTGTGGGCATGGCCCAAGGGAGGGAGGGTTGGGGAATACAGGTGGGGTGGCCCCATGTGATGACAGTGAGTGGCTGCTGCTCCTCTTTGCAGAAGCCCCTCTGGCCGCTTGCGGAAGGCCTTCCCTGCACTGGGCTGACTATAGTGATTTTGGCCTAGGAGCTTCCTGAGGACTTCCAAGAAAACAAACCACTACTACTATTTACTAAACTTGAGTCTGTTCACATCCAACGACTCTCCAATGAGAAACAGATTTTTGAGTACTTCTCTACCTGCTGATACTTGAGCCCCCCTCTGTCTGCAGAGCTGTGTTTACACTCTTGGCCTGCTTGTCACAAAGGAATGTGAGAGCCAGACTTGGTCTCCCTGCTTGCACCGCGCTCTGCCCCCACTCCTACCCCCCAACAAAGGTATCTCCCATGTGTCCTTGGCTCTCTTCCCCTCCTTTACAAGAAGGGCCTCTGAACTGACCTGGGCCAATGCGTGTGCATGGCTTCTGGCCGAGTATCTGCCATAGAAGTGGAGAGGGATTGGAAACTGGCCTTCTGTGGACAAGATGGCTCGTGTCTTCTCTTGCAGGCGTCAGGAAGGCAGCGTGTGCAGCCACATCTCAGCTAGTCTCAGAGCTGACCAAGGAGGATGCCATGACCTGTGTTCCCGCCAAGATGCCTAAGAAGAGCGAGGAAGTCCCCACCATCCTCGAGGAGACCGCAGAGTTGCTCGGCCGTGCAAGCTAAGCCAGGTCCTGGGGCCATGGCAGCTCCTCGGTGGAGCCCCAGACTGTCCCACCTGCAGCATGTGCCTGAAGGGTTGCAGAGGTGTCCTCTGCGGTGGCCACTCCCATCACCCTGACCCCACCTTACTCTCCGGCATGCTGCTCTATGCCCATCACACACAGCTTCAGCTGCCTGGAGGCCAGAAGGAAAGGGCAGTGTGGGGCCTGAGCCCAACCGGGGCGGTCCTGGCTCTTGTTACCAAAGCAGGCTCTGTGTTTGCTGCCTTAACCGCAAGTGTCTCCACTGTTCTCCGGGGCCTCATCTCAGTCAAGGCCCACCTGCTTTCTCAGCCCCTGCCTCTCCAGTGGGCTTTGCCTAGGTCAATTGTGCTGGGTTTGTGCTTTTCTCTTGTGTTTTCTCTGGTCCTGAGAGCAGCATGGGCTTAGGAACCTCTGGGCTCCATCCCCCCAGCTCTGCTCTGCCTGCCCCGGCTCCTGTTGTCTATTACTGGTGGGGAGGCACCGGGAGGTGCTTCCAAGGAAGTGGGGAGCAGATCCTCCTCCTACCCCACCATTTGAGAAAGACCTCCCCAAACAAGGAGGACCTAGACCACGTTTACCTGTCCTGCTGTGGCCTAGGCCAGGGCCTGGGGGCAGGCGGGCCGGGTGGGGTGGAGCCGCCCCCAGCCTGCTGCCATGCTGTGTGCCCTGGCCTCTCTCAACCCTCCCTCTATACCAGCCCCTGGCGGCTGAGCCACGGGCCCTCCTCACGCCCTCCCCAGAGCTTTGGTCTCATCTGAAAGTGTGGGCTGTACTGTGACCATCCCCACACCTTACCCTCTGTCTCCAAGGAAAGGGGAGGTGGAGCCTCCTGGTTGAGAAATTGTTTTGCAAATGGATCTATTTTTATATGAATTTTTTTTTTTTTAAGAAAAATAACCCTTTACCCTTTCCTCTCCATAATGTAAGAGGCTTTGATGGCAGGTTCCAGAGTCCCTGGGATTTCTCACCACAAGCCTCAGTTCTGAGCAAGCCCCCTGGACCTCCACTCAGCCCTCAAGCCTCTGGGTCCTCGATGCCACTGCAGACTCTCACCGCCAGCATCTGACTTGGGGGCCAGAGGCGGCTCTTCTCTGGTTGAGCTGGACCAGGCCTAAGAGTAATAGGAGCTCTCAAATGACAAAGAGTTTTTATAAATTTAATATATTTATCAAGCCAAATGTGCAGATGCTAACTGGACGCTCTGGAGAAGTGGGCCCAGGGACGCCCCATGCCTGTTCTCTTCAGCAGTGGGAAGGCCACATGCTTCAGTGGCCACAGCCACAGGAAGCTCAGATTTTCTGGCTAAAGGTAACACTTTGCCCTCCTGCACTCCTCTCAGCTTCCTACCCCCAGGTAGGGGGCGAGAATGGCACTGGCAAGGCCTGGCCCCAAAGTATAGCTCTTAGAGCAAGGGGAGCTTAGGAGACCTCAGGCGCCTCCAAGGAGGCCTTGAGGCTGGGCAGAAGGGTTCTGGTTGCTAGAGCCTGTGTGCAAAGGGGCACCAGCAGCCCCCCTGAGCTAGTGCTGGGAGGACTATGGTGGGGGGGGCCTGCTACTCCCCTCAGTCCCCTCCTCCCTGCTGACATCTGGGGCTTTGACCCTTTCTTTTTTAATCTACTTTTGCTAAGATGCATTTAATAATAATAATAATAATAAAAAAAGGGGGGGGGACAAAATGCAAACCTGTTTCCCTCGCCTCTTGGGCTTCTGGGATGTCATCACCTCCAGTTTGTTGGGTTTGTTTCCAACTGTTAATAAAGCATTGAGACAGCCTTCCAGCTTCCTTTGTGAATTTCTGCACTCTTTTCACTGTCATCCAGGCTTCTCCCTGGTTGTCCTGCCTTCCTGTGACTGACTTGACAAATCATCAGAAGGGTGGCGGCACCTTCGTGTGCTGGCTGGGTGCAGGGCTGGTTGCCTCTGTAAGGGAGTGGGGCCCCAGTTCAGCCCCTGCCCGTTAGCTCAGAACCCTTTTCTGGGACCCCACCCCCACCTCCCCATAACCCCAGACTTCACCTGCAGTTTCCTGGCAGTACCTGGGCCTCTCTTGCTAAGGGAAGCCTGTGACTGCATTTCTCCCACGTTCCCCTCCCTCTGGACACACTTGGTGGCCACAGACCACCATCCCGGCTAGGGCTTACCCTGGGGTGGAAACCCGAGCCTGCCCAGCAGAGATCAAAAGACAGACGTCTTGATACTCAAACTTGTTTGAGCACGCTGTGGCCTGCACCAAGAAACCTTACAGACCAGACCCAGGATAGACAAGGAGGGGCTTGGAGAGGACACGAGGCCATTTGGGCAGCTCTACAACTAAAAGTCTCATTAAGTTGCCCTGGAGCCTGGGCAGCTACCTCTCCAGGATGGCTGGGGATGTGGAGGTGGGTTCTCTGCGTCCTTCCTCCCTACTCCCCGGAGCCGTGCACTTCTGGCTTAGGCTGCACAGGCACACATACCAATCGGGACCAACCACAGCTGCTCACACGCTCTGCTCTGCCAGTCTCCTGCCGTGCCTGGAATAGAACCCAGGCGACCGACACCCCGCCCTCTGCAGCCTGGCCCTCAGAAACAACACCCTGTTCCATCTCAGCGTCCGCGCACACCACCCTTCCTCCCACGCAAGAAGGCCGCCCCCAGCAGCTGATGTGGAAGGCTCGGTTTCCATGACAACGGACTTCAGGCGCTGGCAGACGTTTGACCGGCTCTAGGAGAGTACACAGGATGTGCAGAGACAGCCACCCCCAACCCTGCCGCTGAGCATGCCCTTACCCTCACCGACCCCCCATCTGATAACCCTAGTGGGTCTTTTCTATCTTTCCGCCCCTTCTGGCCTTTCCTCCCACTCTGTTGCCTGCAGCTTTGGCGGCAGCAACCTCCAATCCCTCCTTCCTTGGAAGCGGCGGGAGGTGGGCTAGACCAGTAGTGAAAGCGCCGAGAGAGGAAGGAGGGAGGCCGGTCTGCGGGTAATCCGATGTCCGGGGTGCCCTCTGTCCCCTGGACGCCCCCCTCCCCCTTTCCTGCACACACGTAAAGAAGCGGCGAACCCTGCGTTTCCATGGCTTTGCTACAGAGAGGCAACCTAGAACGTGAATTCCAGATGGGAAAACAGGCGCAAGCTGTAGACTGGGCCTCTGGCATTCCCTCCCTCCCACCCTCGAGGCATTCCCAAGCCCCCTGAGGTGGGGGGAGGGGCGGGGTGGAAGAGGGCGGGCAAAGGAGAGTCCACCCTCCTCCCGCCCGCGAAGCTGGGAGGGCGCTCAGGGTGGTCACTTGAGCAGGGAAGGGGCGGAACTCAGGAAGCGTCCACAGCCCCCCTCCAGCTCTGTGTTCAGCCCGCACCGCCCCCTCGCACGGGTCTGCTCTTCTGCCTGGAGACAGCGGCAGACAGACGACTGCGCACTGCCACGTCGTGCTCAGAAATCCCTCCTCCACTGCGGACCCGCAAGCCGATTACACACACAGTGTACAGTCCCACAGGCACCATTACGGTCAATCGGACACCGATTATATGTGCAAAATCGTGCTGCGCGCATACACAGCCGCATTTAACAATTAAACAGATACTCAGGCAGTGACACAAAACCGAGACAACCCAATCATCGCCTCCCGATCCCGCTCTCCCAGCATACTCTGAGCTCATCACTTCATCCATACACGCCAGGAGCCCCCATCTCTTACACAGAAACAGCCAACCTTTCAGAAGAAACCTTTTTAATTTTTCAAAGAAAAAAAGCCATATAAATATTAGAGTATAAAACTTGCGTGAGACACAGGAAGGGGGGTGGGGTCGGGAGCTACGTGACTATGCAAAGAGAAGCGCTTAGAGGAGTCAGTACGCGGGAAGGGGGCGCCGCAGCGCGTGGACACAGCACAACACAGCACGGGCCGCCGCGGGCAGGCTCGGAGACAGACGGCTGCGCGGAGCCCGCCGCCCGCTCGCCATCACGGAAAGATACGCCGCACTATACACTATTGGTTATTCTACACCAGCCGGAAGAGGGAGGGGGTTTCTATACTAAGTAAAGGCTGGGATGGGGTTCTCGAGAAGCCCCGCTGGGTGAGCGGGACCTGGGGCAGAGCGGTGAGCAGAGGAAGGTCTGTCTATGCACAAGGAGGCACTGGGGGACTTTAACCAGGCTCTGGCCACGAGGGGGCGGACTGGGGGCCTGGGCAGTGGCCTTCACAGAGAAGGAATGGCACCTGCAAGGTGAAGGGCTGGGGCCGCTGGGGCAGGGGGGTGCCCTGTGGAGAAGCCCTGATCTCAGGCTGACACTTTCTGTCCACTTGGTCCCTGCTCTAGCTCCCTTCCTTCCCAACCCAGGGACCAAAAATAGCCGAGCGGGCCCCTCCCTCCCTATTGGGGCCACACTGATCCTTCCACCAGAAACACCTCTGGAGTACCCAGCACCCACAGAGGCCCCTCTGACCTCTCCAGGGGACCTGTCCTAATCCTGCTCAGAGCTGCCTTGGACCACAAGGCCAGTTCAAACCCACCGGTGCTGGAAGCTCAGCGCACCACTGGCTGCCAGGCTGCCCTGTTACATGAAAGATGAGGGTCCAGCCTGAGGCATGGCTTCCGGCTGGAACCTGGGGATCTGGTCGGTACCCTGGGGCATACAGAGCCTCCTGCAAGACCCTGTTAACTGGTGGGATCAAGCTTTGTCCACCCCCCATCCACACCCACACCCTTCTTTATCTTAGCACCCCACACTGTCTCAGAACATGCAGTGGGGTCTCTTGTTTGGGGAGGGGGAAGTCACAGCATGCAGTGGGAACATCAAATGATGACAAACAGAACAGAACAAAAGACTGGTCCCCAGGGTGTTGGGAAGAGGCATGGTAGCAAAATGCCCTCCCTAAATCCAGCAAGCATCAGTACCATGGGAATGGTGACCATGTCTCCCAAAAACTTGAGTTTGGTCTCAGGTTCTGGAAGGAGATGAAGGGACTGGCACCAAACCATGCTTTTGGGGGAAGTTTGAGAATTGAAGGAGAGGTCAAGAAGTCACGATGCCCTTCTAAATCTTCAGAGCTATGAGCCTTTTTAGGTCACCAGGTACCTTAACACCCCAACCACCTTAAGAAAGAGAAGAGTGGGCTGGGATGGGGAGGGCAGGAGGGAGGTAGGGGATGGGCCTGATTGAATTTGGAAGATGGAGGAGTTCAGCTGTAACTGAAGGGGGTGTGATAAATGGTGTCTACACGAACCCCACTACCCCCATGGGCACAGCAAGTGATTGGATGGGGGTTCCCAGCAGAACTCCCTTTGCATATTCAATCCCTTGGGGGCAGAGAGGGGGGTGTTGACCTGGCACTTGTTTCCATTTCCCAAGGGGAGCATGGCCTGGGCCCCTACCAGTTTCCTGGGAGTGAGCCCTGAAATCCGAGGCTTGGGCACAGGTAGGGAGAGGCTGGACTGGTTGGGGAGGGAGGCTGCCCTGTGGCTCCAGGCCTGGCCTCCACGTTACTTCTTTTCCTTCTTGCCAGACTTCTTCTTGTTGCCATTGCCTCCTGCCGGGGCCTTGCCATCACGCTTGCCAGCTGCGTTGGTCAGAGTGGCGTTGCTGCCAGGGATGTAGACATTCTGGCGGTAGTCGGGCACATGCTGCAGGGTGAACTGGGGTCCGTAGCGGGCACTCAAGCCCATGGTGCCGGCACCCCCTCCCAGGGTGGAGCTCCCATCAGCGGCTTCTGCAGAGACAAGGGAAGGTCAGGGGCTAAACCTCAGGGTCGTCAAGTCCCTCTCTTATAGCACCAGCAGGGAGAGCACTGGACGCGCCATCCTGACCCACAAGGGTAGAGCTGAGAGGCTCCAGAGTGACCACCTAGGTTTGTTTCCTAGTTCTTTTCCTACTAGCCAAGTCTACCTTAACCTCCCTATGTCTCCTTAGATTTCTGAATTGCAAAATGAGGATAATAATGGTACCTACCTCCTCTGGGATTACAAGCACCTTGTAACCAAGATTACATGTATCAAGCACCTAGAATAGTGCCCACTGCCTGGTAAGGGCGTCACACATGCTAGCCGTCATCTCTCTCCAGGCTGAGACTTGGCTCTTGAGACACTGCCCCAGCCTTTCTCCGGGCAGACTCTCTGGTCTCCATGCTAGGCCCCCGTGGCTCCTGCAGGTTCCTAGCCTGTTTCACCCAGTGCAAAGCACAGAGTGGGCACTGAGTCATTCTGTTTTGAGGGGTGGGGGCTCTTCCAGGGATTCATTTCAGAACAGCAATCAATGCCTACTCTGTGCCAGGGACCTTGCTAGATGCTACATGTGCATGATGGCATCTAACCTGCATGCAACACTCCAGGGAGGTGTGTGCTAGTACCCTGCTATAGAGATGAGAGAAGTCAGGGTCAGAGGAGGTAAAAGACTTGCCCAAGGCCACACCAGCCAGGACAGGGGAGAGCAGGGGTGAGGCCTAAGTACATCCTAAGTGTAGCTGTAGGGTATGGTCACCACCAGCAGAGGCCTGGACATCATCACTACTCTGAGGGTGAAGAAGGGGAGAGGCTGAGAAGATGACGACTGACCGCAGGACCAGCTGTCTTAGGTCCAATGTGGGCCCAGGCTCACAATGTCAGAGTAGGTGACATCACAGAGCCTGCAGCCCAGCTTCCTGCTCTGCACAAGGAGAAACTGGGGTCCAGAGGACTGCAAATTCCGGCCCTAGCTCAGCATCACCTGGGAGCTTGACAGAATCACAGACTCTCAGAATCTGCATTTGAATACCATACCCAGGTGACATGTGGCTCCAGGTGATGTGTGGCACATTGAAGGGAGAGAAATACAGAAGACCCTACTTCACTGAGGTTTTGTGAGGATTCCAGGAAAAAGTGCTTCACCCAGTGCCTGGGCACTTGGAGAGAGCTCACTAAAGGTTTGCTGTTGCCAAAATCACCCTCACCCTCATCACTGTCACTGTCACCATAACCCTGTGTCACTGCTTCTCCCCTCCATGCCCCCTACCTCCAGGGGGTTAAAAAAAAAAAAAGAACATGGGGTTTTGATGACTCTGCTGAGTTCAGAAGGGCTCCTGTGGGAGTCCTCCGGCAGCTAGAGAGTTAAAGCCCCAGAAATGCCCAGCCCAGACCCCATCCAGCAGAAGGGGTCCCCCAACCTGGCCTCCCTCTACCCCCACCCTAGACCCTGGGAGTGCGCAGAGAGGGTGACTAAAGCCAGAGAGGCTGAGTAATCCTGGGACATCAACCAGGGATTGAGAAATAGAGAGACAGGAAATATTTTCAAAGAAGAGCATCAGAGGGGGAGGGACACAAGGGAAAGCAAAGGAGAGAGGGGCCCCAGTGTTTCCGCCTCCTCATTCCAGGCTCAGGTTTCCACAACCTCCATTTCAAGTCCCAAATCCCAGGGCCTTCAGGGGGCGGGGAAGTGGGCTGGGTGGGAGGGAGCAGCGCCCACTTCCTTCTCTCCTTCCCCCAGCCCTTTCATTCCACTGACATTTCTATATTTTCTGTAATTAACTCCAGGAGGGAGCCAGTCCCTGACCGCCCCCACCCCTCCCCGCTGCCTGGGAATATGAGTGCTGGGGGGAGGGGCCCAGATCTGGCTTCAAGAGCCAAGGTTCCTGAGTGATTTAGGGGCAAAGAGGGGAGACGTCAGAGGTGCCAGTGGGGGTGGTGGTGGGAAGAGATGGGCACCAGAAGGGGGAAGGGAAGCAGAAATAGGAAGATAGGAAGGGCGGGATTGGATAACTGGAAGCCAGGCCCACCCACATCCTACAACACACCCAGGATCTCTAAGAAGCACCGGAGCAGACAAAAATGACAAAGCCAGCCCCTGCCACCCCCTCCCTAGAAGCACAGACCTGATGTTGGCCAGCATTACGGGATGCACTGAAGTGGGGCTGGGCAGAAGGGAAGAAGATTGGGAAACCCAGAGTGTAACATAAAAACAGGCCGACCTTGAGTTCTGTCCCGTCAGCTCTGCCACTAAGGAGCCAGCCATGTGACCTTGACCAAGGCCCTGTCTGACCCCAACCTCAGCTGGACTGCAGGCTCTGACCTTCTGCAGAATCAAGTCTCCAAGGGCACCTCCTTCTACCCCTGCAAGACTTAGTCTGGGCAGGAACTGGGATCTTCCCTGAGCACAAGGAGAAACAGACTCTGAAGAGCAGCAAGGAAGAACCTGGGTGTCCTCTGGCCTAGAGGAGGTTAAGGCACTGCCCGCCTCCCCTCCCCTCTCCCACTCCAGCCTCACCTCAGGGAAACGGCTCCCAGCCCCAGCGTTCCCCCTCTGCCCTGCCGTCCCCACCCAGGGGCTGAAGGCAGAAGCTCCAAGCAGCCCTGGCCGGCTGAGCCACAGACCACAGCCTCCTAGAGAGCACACCTTCCCCTCAAACGTTTATGTAAAAAGCCTCCCAAGTGTACTTACTCTCCCCTCTCACTCGCCCTCAGCGGCTCCACAGGCCTGACTGGGCTGGACTCCAGGAACCTCTCTGGCTCCAGGGCCAGGAAACCGGGTGTGAAAGTGAGAGTAGGGCCTGACCCTGACACCTCCACCCCCAGGATCCATCCCCCAGGGCCAGGGTTTACTCTCAGGTCAGGCCCTGTGTGGGCTGGAGGGGTGGAACCCTGACAGGGGAGGCAGCCTGCGGTGACCCCAGGGACCTCCTGGGAGGGTCTGGGGCTATAAATACTGACTCCATTTCTGTTTTTAAAATCTGGATTTAGGCTAAAAAGGCTGCTTCCTGGCTTTAGGGTTTAAAGCCACAACAGCTAAATATACGTTACTGTCTGTTTACTTCCCTCAAGAGTCCAACTTGGCATCTTCTCAGACCCCACCACCTGCCTCTCTCATACTCAGAGTCTGGCCTCTCTAGAATTACAGTGGCCCCGCCCCCCCCCAACCCCCAGCCTGGGCCAGCCTGTCTTCCCAGAAGGCTGGTGCCCCTGCTGCTGCTCCCTGCCTCTTCATCAGCTGCGGGCCTGGCCCCCCACGGCCTCACAGACATCCAGGGAAGCCTTGTCAGATTAAACAAATGAAAACAAAGGGTGCCCAGTTAAATGTGAATTTCATGTAAATTTTTTTTTAGTATAGTTAATCCCAGTTCTAACATTTGGGACCTACTTATGCTAAAATACTATTTGTTGTCTATTTGAAGTTAAAATTTAACTGGCCATCCTGTATTTTATCTGGAACCCCAATCTGGGAGAATAATGCAGCATTAAGAGAAACCTGTTCACCTAAACGGGAAACTGAGGCTGGATGGAAAGGCAGATGTGGTCACTGGAGCAGACAGGGCATGAATGTAGGAGCAAGCTGGGTTAGAATCTCCAATCTGCAGCTCAAAACAGGGCCTACGAGCAAGGAACTTCTCAGTCCCCTCATCTGTCAAATGGAAGGACTCAGACCTGCCCTGCAGAGCTGCGAGTAGATCCACCGACACGAGGCCCATCCAGCTTGCCGAGTGTGAGCTGGGGCAGTGTGCAGGCACGAGGGCAGCGATCACTGCTCCTACTTTACCTGATTCTCCACTAGCCAGGCCTCCAGAGCCACTGGGCAGTGGGGCTCTCAGTTCACTGAGTAAGGCCACTGCCTGAGTCCTCCACCAGCCTCCATGTAAGCCCAGGGTTAGTTGCTCCAGAAGCTAGTGCTTATTAACAGGCATTATTCTAATTCTACCTTCTACCCCACCATGGGTCAAAAGAGACCATCATCTATCAATTTTCACCACTGAGTTTGGTGCCCTTCCTCTCTGCCAATCCTGTCCTGAGGCCTTTATGACACTACAGTGAGAGCTGTTGTTTCTGCACCGATGTTACAGTCAGTGAGACCGCGGCCCAGAGCGGGCAAGTCACTTGCTTGAGGACTCGCAGCTAAGTGGTGGTGCCAGGATTGGAACCCAGGCCGGCCGGCCTCCAACGCCTGTGCCCTTCAGTACTAATGACATTGTTCTCCCTCCATGCTCAGGACTCTTGGTTGTCATCCCCGAAGACTAGCATCACCTGAATCTCTATCATTGAAGGTCTTTGTTAACTTGTGGGAAAACCAAAGTCCTGCTCTGGAAGTGGGGGCAACAAAAACAAAAGAGAAGAGGTCCCACAGGTCCAGAGTGTGTTTCCTACTGGGAGTATCCACACCCACTTACATGGCTTCAGGGCAGTAAGGATAAGGCCCCAGGCCCCAATACTATGTGCTTTACCATATCATTTCACTGAATCCTCATAGTAACCCTTTGAGGTCTCTGTTCCCATTTTCTTGATTGAGGAAACTGAAGTTTAGAGAGATTAAGCAAATTGATCAAGGGCACAAAGATTGTAAGTGGCAGAGATAGGACCCGACCTATAGGTGTCCCTTCCGGGGCAACACTTGCAACCACTGCTCCCTACTTCTCCTGCAAGGATCTTTCTTTATTTATTCCCCTTTGGGCATCCCAGAGCCCCCATCCCTTAGCTACTCCCTAACCTGTCTTTATATCCTGGAATTAAGGGCTGTCTCAGACCAGCTGACGTATAGGTTGGAAGCCAGTCTCGGGGCACGGTGCTGTGGGATGCATCCCAGGACCCCAGGTCTCCTACTCCACACGTGTTGGCACAACTTACCACTGGCAGAGGCCAAGATCATGGCTTGTAGCATCTCTGTGTCGAACTGGTTGTTGGGCCAGGTGCCGGTCTCATCGCCATTTTGGGATCTGCGGAAAGAGTGGGCTGGTGAGCATGCTCTCCCAAGCCACCCCACCCCGCCCCTCCTGTCCTCGCTCAGGGCCCCCAGATCTAGTGCCCAACCCCAGCCCACGCCCAAGACCTGCCCCTTTCAGCAAGGTAGGAGGGAGCTCACACAATCTTTCAGAAGCCAGACCCCCACCTGCCAGTCCCCCAAACCAGCTTTCTACCTATGGTTTCAGACACCATGGCCCTTGGAGGGAGGGGGCAGGACGCACGGCAGCTTGCCTGCCCGCCCCGCCGTGAGGAAGCGGTGGCTCACAGGAAGGGAGAACAGACCCTCTCCAGAGAACAGTGGAGGGTGGGAAACAGGAGAGAACGTGCCAGAGCTAGAGAAAGGCCTGAGAGCCTAGAGGCAGAGGCTGGGAGGCCCACGAGACGCCGAGCCCAGGAGAGAGGCTGCTAAAACTCAACTCTGATATGCTTTGGTGGCTCACTCAGGCATCAGGATAAAATCCACCTGAGAACCAGCCCTCCCTATTCCCCAAGAACCACACTCCCAGCATTCTATCGTGAGCCCTTTCTGAGTCCCCTTCCTGACTCCTCACTCTCTCTTACCAGCTCCTTTTGGTCAGATACTGCTTCCTAGAATGCAAGCTTCCTACCTCTGCCTTGGTAACGTGAAGTGAATACGTTTGTCAGAGGGGACCCCTGAGCCCACCCAGGCTGGGTTAGGTGCCTCTGCCATGTTCCCACCCCAACTGGCTGCTCTGTGGCAGCTCTAGGCCCAGGGGGACTGCCATTGTCCCACCCCCTACCCCCCCCCACAATCTGCTCCACCCACAGACCCAGCTCCTTGAGCTTTGGGAACAGGGCTGTGCCTGTTTCCTACTGAAGCACCTAGTTAACAACTTTAGAAGCTCTAAACATTGAGAAAAACATGAGGTGATTCATTAGTTGTTAAAAACATTAACCTGACCATTACACGCCAGTCAGGATGGTTGCTATCCAAAAGTCTACAAGCAATAAATGCTGGAGAGGGTGTGGAGAAAAGGGAACCCTCTTACACTGCTGGTGGGAATGCAAATTAGTACAGCCACTATGGAAAACAGTGTGGAGATTTCTTAAAAAGCTGGAAATAGAACTGCCATATGACCCAGCAATCCCACTTCTGGGCATACACACCGAGGAAACCAGATCTGAAAGAGACACGTGCACCCCAATGTTCATCGCAGCACTGTTTATAATAGCCAGGACATGGAAGCAACCTAGATGCCCATCAGCAGACGAATGGATGAGGAAGCTGTGGTACATATACACCATGGAATATTACTCAGCCATTAAAAAGAATTCATTTGAATCAGTTCTAATGAGATGGATGAAACTGGAGCCCATTATACAGAGCGAATTAAGCCAGAAAGATAAAGACCATTACAGTATACTAACACATATATATGGAGTTTAGAAAGATGGTAATGATAACCCTATATGCAAAACAGAAAAAGAGACTCAGATGTATAGGACAGACTTGTGGACTCTGGGAGAAGGCAAGGGTGGGATGTTTCAAGAGAACAGCATCGAAACATGTATATTATCCAGGGTGAAACAGATCACCAGCCCAGGTTGGGTGCATGAGACAAGTGCTCGGGCCTGGTACACTGGGAAGACCCAGAGGGATCGGGTGGAGAGGGAGGTGGGAGGGGGGACCGGGATGGGGAATACATGTAAATCCATGGCTAATTCATTTCAATGTATGACAAAAACCACTGCAATGATGTAAAGTAATTAGCCTCCAACTAATAAAAATAAATGGAAAAAAAAAAAACAAAAACATTAACCTGAACTCTAAGGAATGGTACTCCAACCTGGATTTTTTCCCATAGTAATTTTACTCCTATGCTTTAAGAGAATTTCCAAGGCTCAAATGATTTCCATTTTCGAAGGGAAGCGGAAGCAGCCTGACACACAGTCTATTAGTTGACCTCTGCACTGTCTGGAACACTGAAATTCCTCAATGAATGCTTGTTGCCTGAGAGCCCTACAGAGAAAGTTAGGTCATTAAGAGGTAAGAAGCATTTTGCACCAGGGGAGGGGCTGGAGGGTAGGCCCTGAAGGCATGCAAGTTGGGGTGGGGGAGGGACGGAGTGTAAAAGTGTGTATTTTGTCAAGGTGGCTGAGCAGAGTCAAGAACAGCTTTATGCTTTTTCCAAGGTCTGTCCTTGCTTATGGTTTCTCTTGATCTGGAATTCGCAACTCAGGCAGGTGGACGCAGTCTAAGGCCCAGATCAGCTGCTGTGTGGTGGCCTCTTTGCTGTCAGAGCAAATGTAGAGTTAGGGCTGGAGGAGAAAGCAGGAATGTCATATCTCCCTCTGCAGAGTGAGAAGAGCTAGAACTCTGGGTTCACTTATTCAACCAGTATTTATTGAGCAATTATTGTGTGCCAGACACAGGGCTGGGTGCTGGGTTTGTAGCTGTGAACACGACTGAAATAGCCTGGTGTTCAGTCTCCACTGACAGGCTGATAGTAAATAATTACACCATCACTGAATTGTAATTGTGAAAAGTGCCCCGGAGGCAGAGAGCAGGGGTGTAAGAGCGTCCTGACCTAATCGGGGTTAGGGAGCCAGTCAGTGCAGGCTTCCCCGAAGAGAAGACAGGGAATTTAAATCTGAAGAACCCATCCAGGTGATCTGGAGGAGAATGCCAGTCAAAGAAAAGTCAGAGGATAGAAAATGAACGCTCTGTAACTGCCGACGTAAAGACCGATTCAGGCAAGATCAGCAGTGAATACTCAAATATCACCCCCAGATCACTGACTAGTCACCAGCATTGTGAAAATACCTTTGTAACACAGAGATCTGGGGGTACTGCTTTAACCCGGTGAACAAACTGAGCATCACACTGACAGGAAATGATTCCCAGCACAAAGAGCAGTGTCCCCCACACAGTATTCCTACCAGACTGTGTAACCTGACCTCACTGTGAGAAAATGATCCCCGAACACAGGCTCTGGGACGTTTTGAAAGACAAGGGGCCTGGAGTCTTTAAAACATGTCTATGTATGTGTACACACACACACACACACACACACACACCCTCCAAGGCAAGGGGCCTGGAGTCTTTAAAACATGTCTATGTATGTGTATACACACACACACACACCCCCACACACACCCTCCAAAAGGCAAGGAAATGAAAGAGAGATAGCAAGCCAATGCAATTTATGCTGCTTGATTGAATTCTGGCGTTAAAAAAAAAAAAAAAACAGGTTAAAAGGATATTTGGGGAACATTTATGAAAATCTGCTAGTGGACTGTGTATTATTGCATTAATGTTAAACTCATCAAATGTGAGCATTCTTTTGTGGTTATGTATGAGAATGTTATTGTTGTCAGGAGAGAAATACTGAAGTATTTCAAATGTTTTTAGGTCTGCAACTCTCAAATGGTTCAGGGGGTGAGTGTGTGCATGTTGCAAGAGAGAAAAGAGAAAATAAATGTGCAAAATTTTAACGACTGATGTATCTAAGTTTAAAAGAGTATCTGGATGTTCATCATACTATTCTTTCAACTTTAAGAGGTTTGAGCCATTTCAAAGTAAAAAATTGAGCGATACAATAAAGTCAGCTAGGAGAAGGGTAGTGTTGGGAGAGCTTTCCAAGCAAAAGGAGTAAAAGGCCCCAGCCTCTGAGGCTGGGCGGAGCTCAGCGAGCTCAGAGCCAGTGTGGCTGCTGCGGGACGTGGTGGTGGGGCTACAAAGTGCACACTGGAGATTGTGTTCTTACCCTAAGAGCTCTGGGAAGTCTCCGAGGTGTATAAAAGGGGTTGTCAATTAAGTATTTAAAGATCACTGTTAAGATAGGTAAACTCTTTCAAATTGAATTTTTTATTAAAATATTTTAGTTTCTTTTACTGTTATCTTTCAGGTGTCTAAATCTCCAGTCTGTTGTACTGGTAATTTAATTCTGTAATAGAATAGTTTGCTGCCAACTCTTTATGTTAAGTAATTTTTAAGTATTTGTAATATTGTTGAGTGACTAATAAACTATTAAGTTACTAACATTAAAAAGAAGAAGATCACTGCTGCTCCCAAGAGAAGATCGAGGGATTAGGGGCACCTCTGGGAGGGCAGGAGCCCAGTGATGGAGCCTCAGCCACCTCTGTCTCCATGACAACCCAGGAGTCCTACTTGCAGGCAGACTGAGCTCTCTCTGGGCTCGCCTGGGGGTGCAGGGCTGAGGCAGGAGGGCTCCGGCTGAGACAAAGGGCCTAATGCGGATACAGTGGGGAGAGCAGATAGGGCAAGCAGCAGGGGGCTGTGGAGCAGACAACAGGGTCAGACACCAGGTTAGGAGGATACCCTGTGATGGTGGGTGATGGTGTTGAGGGAATGAAGGTGAGTGGAAAGGTGGGCCTGGAACCATGATGGACTGGGCGGGGCTGAGAGGAGGGTTCTTAGGAAGTGACTGAAGGCTGGAGGCCAAGCACATGGGCAGAGAGAGAGTTCTTGTTGAGCAGTTTATTGACAGCTTCTTATTTCTGGGTACTGGGCTGACTAAACTATATACATATTGTCTATTTCAGCCCAAGAAACACCCACAGGCAAGTGTTATCATCCTTATTTCCCAGCAGATGAAACCGGGGCTCAGACAGGTTGAAAGACTTTCCCAAAATCACACAGCTGGCAACAGGCAGCTGTTGTGAAATCACACAAACTGGCCTAATGTGACTCCAAAGCCTATGATCTTATACATAACAACATACTGGGCTTCAGCAGGGATGGGAACTCTTCCAGGATCTGGGGAACAGTGAAAAATAATAGTGAAGGAGACGGACTACATCTAACTGACCATTTTCCAAGTGTCAGTGCCTGTGACAGACCCTAGGACTTAAGAGACGATATGATCTTGCCCTAAGGAGTTTGTATTCTGGTGTGCTGGGGGGCTGTGTGTGAGGAACAACCCCAGAGACCAGGCTGTGGTTAAAAGCTCCCTGCATCCTGCTCAAAACAAGGAGAAATATGGGGAAGTCACCCCTGACCTTAACCTGGGTTTAACTGTGTTCAATCTAAGTACATGTGTATCTTTTTAATGTAGTAAAAGCCTGTCTGCACCAGATAAAATTTTTACCCATTAGAGAGGCTATTATGCAATAATTAAATGACTTATGAAGAACTTTTCTTATGACGTGGTACACAGAGAGAAAAAAAAAGGCTACAATACTGATGGACAGTATGACCTCAATTACTAACAAAAACAAACAAAACTAGTGAGAAATATACTACCTGACTGGGATTAAAATTTGCTGACTTCCTGTGAACAAGTTTGTGATTAATTCGTCTAGATAATTAGATTTTAAAAAGCAGCAGTGGCAGAAACAAAAGAAGCAAGAGCAGAAAAACCAAGAGCAGCGGCTTGTGCATGCTAAACGCACCAAGAAAAAAGTTTGAAATGTATTTAAAAATATTAAGAGAGCTTAAGACATGAGACTCTCAACCAAATACAAAATGTGGACCTTAATTTGGATAAGCACACAAACAGGTTAACAGAGAGCAATATATAACTGGGGAAATCTGAATACAGACTAAATATTTGATGATATTATTATTATTACTATTAAATTATTTTTAGTGTTTATGAGTTTAAAAAAATGAATCATCTGTTAAAGATAGTGAAGACTGATGAAATATGATGGCTGTGATTTGTTTTAAAATAACTCGGTGGGAGGAGGGAGATGCGAGACAAGTCAGGGGGTTAGTTGAAGATGGAGAGTGAGGCCAGAGAGGCTCACTACACCAATGTCTCTCCTCTTGCATAGGTTTGAAATTTTCTGTATTAAAAAAGTTAGTGGTGGTTTCCCTGGGTTGTAAAATTATGAGTGATTTTAAAAACTGTTTTTTCCATTTCTCATGTTTCTATAATCAGCAAGGATTATGAGCAGAAAAAAGTAAGTTGCTATTGGTTTGTTTGTTGAATGGCTGCCCAAATGGAGGGAAAGACAGTGTCCCCCGGGGAAGGCAGATCAGAAGGGGAAAGGCAGTGTGGTGCCATCAAAGGAGAACAGTGTAGGGACCGGGGGAAGCCACACGGAGATTCTATTCTGGGCAGAGGCTGGGAACGGCGGAAGGGAGGGGCCTGGGGCATGGCCTGAGAAAGGAGAACTGGCTTGCTGGGCTCAGGCTTGAGACAACAGCTGTTGGGACCAAAAGCCAAGGAGTCAACCTGAGCACAGATGGTGGTGGTGAAGAGGAGCACCTGGAAGGCAAGGACTTCAGAAAACTCCCTTTTGTCCAGGCAACGTGACATAGCACTGGCTTGAACCTGAACCAGGTTTACTGCAGAACTCAACACTAGCCCTGCTCTGAACCTGGTGTGCCAGCAGCCGAGATGGGCCAGAACCAGGGTTCAGCTGAATGAGAGAAACCACCCTTCTTCATCCTCTCACTCCCATCGGCTCATCAGAATGGCAGCAGGGAAAAGCTCCCACCACTCTGTTGATCCTGAGAGGGCTCACCACAGGGCCTTTGCAAATGCTCTTTCCTCCACCTGGAATGTTCTTCTCCTTTCTTTCGGCTGGTTGATTCTCAACCTCATTTCTTCCTGATGTCCTCCTGCCCCCTGACTAGGTCACATCCCTACTGTATACTCTCAAGACCTACTGTATACTCTTCATAGCACTTAGGATAGCTGGAATCTCACTTTTTTTTTTTTTGAGTAATTATTTGATTAATATTTGTCTCCCTCAACACACTATAAACTCCCGGAGGGCAGAGATTATGTCTATCTTGTATCTCCTATACCTAAAACACCACCTGTTACTATTTACTGAATGAATGAAAGAGGGAAATCACAGTTGCTGAATCAGGCCCCTAACACTGATTTTATATGGGCCCCTGTTGCAGCTCAATCATAAGTGTTGATTCCTTCCCCTTCAAGCTACCCGAGGAAGGGAGAGTTCCTGAGCCTTCTCCTCCATCTCAAGAGCTCCCACGTCTACTCAGGTTACCATGTCTCTCATACAATGAAAAGGGACTTGAGGGTGGGATAAGCACCCAATCCAGAGGGCACATCCTGGTCCACTGCTGAGGTGCCCGAGGCAGCAGTGAGCTCTGCTTCAGGGCCAGTATACGGCCTGGGGTGGTGGAAGGTCAAGGAAACACAAACTGCCCTGTATTTCTCATCATCTCAGCTCAAACATCACTTCCCTTCTTTATCCCCCTCCCTCATTATACTCACATAACTGTCTCAGAATTTACTGCAATTTGTAACTAGAAATGTTTTTAGTGTAATTTGTTGTCAATTTTCTGTCTTCCCTGCTGGCATGGAAGCCTGTGAGTACAGGGATCGTATCTGCTTGTTCACTCTTATGTGCTAGTGTTTAGCACAGGGCCTGGCTCATAGTAGATGCTCAATAAATATTTGTTGAATAAATAAACACATGAATGAATAAATGAATAACCTAATGGATAACCTGCAGGAAGGCTGGCAAGGCCAGCAGGGAGAAAGGAGACAGCTGGGGTCAAGAGGGGGGCAAGAGCAGTCCAAATCATCGGGTTTGCTGCTTTCTAGGGGCCTCAGCCAGGAAGTGCCTGAGACCATGTTACCAGAGGCAGGATTCACAAGCCCAGGACCTGGAGTCTCCACCTTGCACCAAGGTGTCCTGGGCTCTGGTGCCAGTGAGGACTCAGCATCTGTAGCATCTGGACAGAATGTGGGCAGCAAGCGTCCAGCCAGCAAGGAGCTGCGCAAGGCAGCCCAAGCTCTGCCCTCCCTCTGTCTTCTGGGCCTCTTGGACTCCACCAGGCTCCCGACTTCTAACAGGGAGGCCTGGCCCAGAGCCCACCCTGCTCCGCTCAGACCAACTGCAGGTCTTTTGCTGAAGTCCTCCCCCACTCCACCCCTGCCCCAGGGTGTTCCTGTCTTAGCAGGAATTCATACCAGATCGATCTGGGCAGCTGGGGCCGCCTGGATGGGAGGGTGTGCTGCGGAGAGCAGGGATCAAAGGCTCTGTGTGTGTGAGGGGCAGCGGAGGGAGAGCGCCTGGGGGTACAGGCGCCTGTGTGTGCTGGCTTGCCCACGAGTTTTAAGAAATGACAGACAGGGAGAGGGACACAGTAAAAGTCAGGATAAAAGACCTAGAGATAAAGAAAGAGCAACAGAGAATGAGGCAGAAAGAGACAGAAAAGAGAGAGATACACAGAAACAAAGAAACACAGGCTGAGGACAGAGAGGAAAGCAAAAACAGTGAGAAAGAGACTGGAGACAGAAGACCACTAGGAAGCGATGAGAGGAGGAGAGACACAAGAGAAGTCAGGGACAGTGAGAGGAAGGCAAAGACAGAGAACAGGAAAAGCAGAGACTGAGACTGAGGAGGAGTCACATTTATTCACTGATTCCACATTTATTGAGCACCTAGCCATAGCAGGCGCAGCGAAAGGCACAGGTCAGTGCAGGTGGACGCAAATGGTAGGGACCGAGATACAGCAACACAGACAGAAACTGAGACAGAGACGAGGAGAGAGGGAGAGGCAGACTAAGACAGGCTCTGAACCGAGGATGGTTAAGAGCTTCAGAGACCAAAGGTCTGCAAGCAGAGAAGACCTGGGCGACCTGCCCCTCCAAGGCGGCTCTCCCTCCTCAGCCCCACCTCCAGCTGCCTGGCCTCCCTCGCCTCAGCCTCAGCTCCTTCTTGCAGGCTCTCGAGGAGCCTCTGACTACTGACACTTCCTCCTCTCCTCCTCCTGTCCCAGATTCCTCTGCCTGAACCCCAGTCAGGATGGAGGACAGCCAAATCTGGGGCAGGGGGACAGAGCCAGACAGATAGGTATAAAAAGCCTCCTCTCCACCCAGAGACCAACCTTCTGACCATGCTTCGCTCCCACAGAGCGCCCAAGATACAAGAAAAGGTTTGTGTGGTGGGGCTAAGGGAATGGGATGAACGTGTGTTTTCAAAACAGCCACAGTAGGAGCCTCTTCCTTCTGGGGTTTGTGCACCAGCCCCCAGTACCCCAAAACCTCCCTGAAATCTGGAACTGAGGGAGGAAGCCATTTGTAGTAAAAGCTGAGCCCTCCCCTTCTCTCCCCCCATCTCCTCCCACGTCATCACTGAGAAAAATGCCGCAGAGAAGAGGGTGGGCTGGAGAGGCAGTCACCTACCCGCTGGTGCCGGGTCTCTGGGCCTGAGAGAATCGCCAATCCGTGTTGGGTGGGGCTTGCTGTGGAGAAAACAGAGGGAAAGAGGCTGAGTACCCAAAAGGGCCAAGTTGAGGGTGGGGTGGGCTCGTTTTCAAAGATAAATTATACCCTCAGGTCTCAGAGGTCTGAGATCCCAGAGACAAAGACATAAAATGACATTTATCCAATCACAGTGAACAAATCCAGGTTCCTTTCCTAAGCAAACTGCCCCTTCTTCCCTGCCCCCCAACTCAGAACTCCTGAGCTGAGGTTCAAGGGGAACTGGGGTGTGTGTGTGTGTGCGCGCGCGCGCGTGCAGAGAAGGGCCCTCAAAGTGGCAGGGGAGGCTTTTGGATGAGAATTCCACCAGCCCTAGAAAGAATTTCATTCAGCTCCTCAGCTGGAAACAAAGCACCCTCTGCGGCAAGATGGCTGCTGTTCCTGTTAACCCTTTTCATGCCAGGCTGGGCCTTTACATATTCAGAAGGACACCTCCTTCAGACCCTCTCTCTCAAGGATCCCTTCCCACAGCTAAATACATTATTAACTTAGGAGTCACGCCAGACTGAGCCTTTGCAGGGCATCCAAGCCCCAGGACACCTCTCACCCCCAGAATTCTGTGCCAGACAATAGCTGTGACTAAGGAGGAGAGAACAAGGCTGCTCTGTCTGGGACAGAGAGAACTGCTGGGATGGAGCCCAGCAGAGATCAAGCTCCCACAGCCTCCAAGCAGAGCCAAGTCAATCTCCAGGGCTCCCAAGGCACAGATCTGTAGCCATCCCCCATCTGGATGAAGGTGTGGGACTCGAGCCAGCCACCTCACTTCCACGTTCCTCCCAGCCTTGCCAGAGGGTGTGTTATCCCATCACACACTCTCATGGAGCATTCTGGAGTGCTCTGGTAGTTAATTCTCACACTCACTCCCAGGAGAGGAGAGGAGAGGTGTGAGCATCTCCAATTACACTGGGGAGAAGGAAGACCCAGGGCTGCCAAATGACTCACTCTAAGTCTCACAGGTGGCAGTGATGTGAGGAAACGTAGAAACTTAGCATCCCAAGTACCATAGGAGTCACCAGCACCATTCTGCAGGTGCCATGGGAAGGGCCCAGGGGTGCCCAATGCTCAGTCACAGTATTCTTCGACATAGTAGAATCTATACCGAGATGCGGGAACCATGACAGACTGGAGGACAGGATAGTGGAGAACTCGCAGCCTACATAAGGACAGCAGGTGCAGGTTTGTTCAGTTAGGGCTGCTCAGGAATAAGGAGCCCCAGTAGGCTTTTCTCCACGAACAACGCCCTAAAAGGGGAAAGAATGTCCACCTTTGCCTCATCCCAGCAGATGTAAATCGTCCCTCCTCTTCTCCACCTTTAGAAGCACCAAGTGACTGAAAGCACAGATTCTGGAGTTAAACAAATATAGACTAGATCTTTGTCTATCACTTACCATGTGAACTTGAGCAAGTCACTTGACCTCTGTGAAACTCAGTTATAAGGGAGAGTGAGCAGTGTTAGTACCTACCCAACATAAGTGTGGGGAAGAGCAAAGGAGCTGCTTTGGTTCTTAGAGGAAATCCGTAGTAAGGTTCTCTCAATCAGCTATCAGAATTCCATGGTGGTGTTGCTCCAAAATATAAACGATTCGGTAGGGGCAGGGTGGAGTACAGACATATTTTGACTAAAAGCTCCTGGAGTTACAGAAACTTAACGTTATTTTACAACAAACATTTCCCCAAATATGAAAGCACCCTGCTGGTTTCTGGCAGAGGTCATGGTTTTCCAACAGCAGGGGAAGGAAGGGCTTGCCAGAGTCTTAGATACTTTGGTTGCGGTTTATGGTGGTTTAGTCACTAAGTCGTGTCTGACTCTTGCGACCCCATGGACTGGAGCCCGCCAGGATCCTCTGTCTGGGATTTTCCAGGCAAGAATACTGGAGTGGATTGCGATTTCCTTCTCCAGGGGATCTTCCCGATGCAGGAATTGAACCTGGGTCTCCTGCATTGCAGGCAGATTCTTTACCAACTGAACTATGAGGGAACCTTTGGTCACCTCCAAAGTCCCTGATGTGGAGAAGGAAATGGCAACCCACTCCAGTATTCTCGCCTGGAAAAGTCACAGTCAGAGGAGCCTGGTGGGCTACAGTCCATAGGGTGGCAAAGAATCGGACACAACTGAACACACAAAGCCCTGACGGTAGACTGCTGGGCCCACCGTGGGCACGACGGAGCCAAAAGCCTGTGTCCTAGTGGCCAGAACCCAGGTGCTCCAGGTTCCCACTTCCAGCCATAGGACAGGTCGGTGGCGCCACAGAGGGCCAAGGCGGCCTGTCCTACAGAGGCCTGTTCCCTTGTCCCAGGCCAGCCCCGCCGCCCCTTGAGCCACAGGGCAGTTTGGCCTTCCTGAGCGAGGCTTCTGGGCTGGAAGCCCCCACCAACCTCTGCTCAGGGTCTGGGCCCAGACCGACCCACCAGCCCATGGGTCACAGAGTCCCGCCAGCCCCGCACCTAGAGCGCCACATGGCTGCAGCACTAGTGACTGGGGTGGCCAAGAGGCCTGCCAGGAGGCCACTGGTCAAGGCCAGGGCAGGGATAACCTGTATCTCCCTCAGGTTAAAACCTCTGAGGCTGGCAGCAAGGTGGAGGGAAGTTGTGAGTTGTGAGTTGCTGGCACAGCCCGCTGCAAGCGGCTGGTAGTTAAAGGCGGTGTATGAGGACGAGGATGGCCAGGTGCGAGGGGCATGCGCAGGTGAGGTGTGGCGAGCCCGTGTGCTGTGCGTGCCACATGCGCCAACCACAGACGCATTAGTTTGATGTGGGAATAAAGAGGGTTGTGAATTACAGTGAAGTCACCGGTCAAGAGGGGAAGAAACCTAAGAAAAAACCTCAAGACCAGCAGAGTGTGCCCGCATCAGAGCCTAGGAGGCTGGCTGCAGAAGAGGATCTGTGACTGCCTCTACCTGGACCCAGATCTGGTGGAAAACGCCAGAGTGATCGCCAGACCCCATGCTTTTCTGTCTGCCCTATCCTCTCTCCCCATCACCCACAGTCGCCATCACCTCCCCAGGCACAGCGCCCCATCCCTGCCTCGGCCACACCTCTGCTTCTGCACAATCCATCCAGACAGTCCCGACAGACATTCGAGTCAAGCCCCACCAGAGGGAGCGGATGCCAAGTTCAAAGTCCCTGATGTGGGTGGGCGGCGTCTCCATTTCTGCCCCCAGGGGTAGCTTGGGAGCCCCTCACCTGGCTCCGCTCCCGCAGCGTGTTAGAGCGGGACCGGAAGGCGATGGGCTCCGGCGCTAAAGCTGAGGGCTGCTGAACGCTGAGGGGCCTTAGAAAAGTGAAGTCGCTGCCGTCGGAGGCTGGTGAAAAGCACGTCCTGTAGCAGTGGCTGTGCGAGTCTGTGGGCCGCAGCGTCACCTCCATGTACTTGAGTGTGCCGTCTGAGCTCACCTGCAGGTTGGGGCTGGACTGCTTATAGAACTCCCGGGAGGGCGAGTCCTGGCGCCCGCAGCACTGACCCCCACCCCCATCCCCGTCCCCCCGAAGGCACTTAGCTGACAGAAAGGTGAAGGTGACTAAGGATAAGAGGCTGGTGGCCGCAAGAGCCACAATGAGGTAAAGGGTAAGGTCTGAGCGCTCAGGAGGGTGTGTGAGGAAGTCCCTGGATTTGGGCATTTCCTCAGGGTCCTCATCTTCCAGAACCAGCAGCACTGTGGCTGTGGAGGAGAGTGAAGGGTCACCATTGTCCCTCACCAGGACCACCACCTGCTGGGTGTCAGCATCATCCTCCAGTAAGGCCCGGGCTGTTCGCACCTCACCAGTGTGTGCAGACACCAGGAACAGCCCTGGGGCTGTGGACTGTGGCAACAGTGAATAGGAGAGCCAGGCATTGTGGCCTGCATCAGCATCTACGGCTGTCACCTTGGTGACCAAGGAGCCAGGAGGGGCAGAGCGAGGGAGACGCTGGGGGAGTGAGAATTCCCGACCCGGTCTAGGGTGCAGCACAGTTGGGGCATTATCATTCTGGTCCAGGACAAATACGTGGAGAGAGGTGTTGGCGTGTAACGGGGGAGAGCCAGAGTCTCGAACGCCCACCACAATCTGCAGCATCTGCAGCAGTTCGTAGTCGAAAGTACGCTGGGCAAAGATCCGCCCATCCTCGGGGTTGACATACACAAAGGAGGCGGCTGGGGAGCCCTGAATCTGGTTCCCTACAATAGAGTAGGTAAGACGGGCGTTATCCCCAGTGTCTGGATCGGAGGCAGCCACGGTGCAGAGAAGGGAGCCTGGAGGCCGGTTTTCTGGGATGTAAGCCGTGTAGAGCTGCTGGGTGAAGTAGGGTGCGTTGTCATTTACATCTGAAATGTTGAGCCTGATGGTGAGATGTGCATGCAAGGGAGGCGAGCCCTCATCACGGGCCAGCAGCTCAATGATATAGTGGGATGTGGCCTCACGGTCCAAAGGCTGACTGGTTAGGAGTGAGTAGTGGTTCTCAGAAGGCTTAATCTGAAATGGCAGGTCTGGAGAGAGTTCGAGGCTCACTTCACCATTTCTCCCCGAGTCTCGGTCCCGCACATTAAACAATCCCACTACTGTGCCCACTGGTGTGCTCTCCAGGACAGGGTTGACCAAAGAGGCCAGTAGTACCTCTGGGGCATTGTCATTGGCATCCCCCACATCCACTTGAATCACACAGTGGCCTTCCATGGCTGGCTGTCCCTGGTCACGGGCTCTTGCATGAATTTCATAGAAACTTGACTCCTCGAAGTCAATGGGACCCAACACATGGATTGCTCCACTGCTAGGGTCTAGGCCAAAGAGGTTCCGCACTGCCTCAGACGTATGGTCTCCAAAAGAATAGTCTAGTTGGCCATTAGTGCCCTCGTCTGGGTCAGTGGCATTGAGGCGGAGCAGCAATGTACCCACGGGTGCATTCTCCGGGAGTCCCACACGTAGAACTGAGGACTGGAAGGCTGGAGCATTATCGTTGATATCCAGCACAGTGACAGAGATAAGGGTGGTCCCTGAGCGGGCTGGGACGCCCCCATCCACAGCTGTGAGCACCAGCTGATGTCTTGCCTGGGTTTCACGGTCTAGCTGCTGCTCCAGCACCAGTTCTGGGAACAGCTTCCCATCTTTTAGGGTCTTCACATTCAGAGAAAAGTGGCTGCTGGGGCTTAGAGTATAGAAGCTCACAGTATTGGTGCCCACATCGGGATCCTGGGCACTATCCAGTGGGAACCGTGCCCCCAGTGCAGCTGACTCTGAGATGCGTATCTCTCGCTCAGGGGTGGCAAAGCTCGGAGAGTTGTCATTGAGATCCAGGATTTCCACCTCTACACGGATTAGTTCCAGGGGGTGTTCGGTCACCACCTGTACTGGCAGCAGGCAGCTGGTGCTGGCTGCACACAGGCTCTCTCGGTCAATTTTCTGATTCACTGCCAGAGCACCACTCATCAAGCTCAGGGAAAAATATTGCCCATTCTCCTCAGTGCCCAACCGCAGCCGGCGGCTCAACAGATCTGTCACCTTTAAGCCTAGATCCTGAGCAACGTTCCCCACCAGAGTCCCCGGCTCGGACTCCTCCACCACAGAGTAACGAAGCTGCCCAGACACCCAGCCCCAGCAGCACAAGGACAACATGCACAGCACTTGCCATTTCCCAGCGAGCTGTGGGGATGTCTTGGGCCCCATGACCCAGAAGTCCCTTCCTGGACACTGACTCTGTGCGGTCCTGTCGCCAAGGTAGACCCAGGGCTTGGAATGTAGCAGCTGAAATCTCTAATGTCTCCTTCCAGCCTCTTAAAAACTGCTCCGAGGCTTGTCTGCCTGCAGCAGTTCTTCTTAGTCACCAAATGGCGGGGGTGGGTTGAGGGGGAGGGGAATTGAATCTGAGAGGAGCTGGGGAGCTGGGGGAGGAGAGGCGGGCTAGAAGATCAGATCCCCCACCTCGGCTCTAAGTCTGATTGGCCCAAAAGTCTGTCTGCTCTCAACCAATTATAAAGTCTCCTCAGTCCTGGAAACCTTAGGAACCGGCGCTGCAAATCCGTGTCACAGAAGCCTCCTACCTCCCCACTCATTTCGTGCTGCAGGTTGATTCAGTTCCCTTGGCAGCAAAGTTTGACAGCTCAGATGGCACTCAACAGGGAAGACAAAGTGGTACAAAACTTCTCAGGGTTCTGTCCCAACAACTTCCTGTGTAACTTCAGAAACTCCCACTATTTCACTTGAACCATCAAAATTTTGTCCTTCTCCAGGAAGCAGAACCCACGTGTTACCCCCTCCCTACCCCATCCTGCCAAACACTGCCAGAGAGAAAGAAAAGATTTGTTAGGACACTTCAGGGTCTTGCTTGGACTCTCCAGCAGTACTTTGAGGAATCTCAATGTCATCGATGGCTGTTAAGGATTCACTTTTTCTGAGAATCCACATGAGCAATGGAATGGGCATCACAACTTGTGGTGAGGGATGAGAACACTTCTAGGACTGATCCAGGTTACCCAAGGAAGGTGACTAGAATCTAGGCATGGCCTCTAAGCTTTATGGTTTCATCAATTCCGAAGAACTCTACTTAAAGACTCCCAGATTGGCCGTCTCTATGAATTCCTCAGCAGCAAGACAGGTCTTGATACTTAGTGATTTCACTTACTGCCTTCCCCCCCCACCAAAGAGGTAATGTTCCTCTGCCCCAGTCGACTACATCTAGCTCTGATCCCAATGGGGACTTGATTGGGAGACCTGAAGACCTGGGACAAAAACATCCCTGCTTCCACCTTGTTGCCTCTCTAATCCCTTGGCTCTTTCCTCTTATGTTTCAAGAGGGACTTCCCTGCTAGCTCAGGGGTAAAGAATCCACCTGCCAATGCAGGACATGTGGGTTCGATTCCTGGGCTGGAAAGATCCCCTGGAGAAGGCAACCCACTCCAGGATTCTTGCCTGGGAAATCCCATGGAGAGAGGAGCCTGGTGGGCTACAGTCCGGGTTGCAAAGAGTCAGATGGAACTTAGCGACTGAACACCAAACAACAACATTTCAAGCAGAGAGTCCCTTTCACAGTGGGTGAGGGAGTAGGTGACACTGTGGAGCAAATATATAAGTTTCCCTCAGTCCACTGGAGAATGGTAACCTAGAGTTAAGGTATTCCAGACCCTGGTCCCTCATTCAGGAAGAGGAGAGAAAGTCACTACCTGGGTTTAGGTGCACCTCATGCACGAGAGCGTTCCATGTGCTCCACATTCCAACAGCATGTTTCCACAACACCCCATCTCTAGATCACTCACTTTCATTTCTTACTCTCAGATAAGGGCATAATCCACCCCAAGTAGTAATCTGTGAAAACTCCCTGGTTAATTCACAAAACGCTTCTAAAGCACATCATCTACCACACAGTTACCACTCACAGAAGTGGCAACATCACTACAGGCTCTTACAGAGAGACCAATATATTCTCTGGGACATGGCCCAGCCACATGCCTGCATCAGAATAACCCTCAAGCATCGGCTGAGCCTGCAAAGGTCTCACCTCTAGCCCATAGAGAAGATCAGAGGGTGGGCAGCTTGGGCGAACGGGTTCCCCTGCCATAGGTGCACTGGGTGACTTCACCATCATGAAGCTATCACTCCGAGTGGGTGCAGAAGCCAAGGGTGTACAGCCATGAGAGTGGCCGCCCACATCAACAAACTTGATAGGATCATCTGACCCTAGCTGGATTCGGAGGATCCCATTGGAAGGAGGAAGCCCCTCCCTCCTTCGAGACCGGGTGAGACAGGCACAGGTGCCAGCAGGAAAGCAGGTCATTCCACAGGCAGCCCCACGCAGGCACTTTGAGATGAGTGCCACGAATGAGCCAAAGGAAACAAAGCAAATTGCCACTAGAGATACAGCCAAGTAGAGGGTCAAGCGGGATTCTCCTTCCCTTGGAGCCGAGGACTCTCGAAGATCAGGGACAACTGGATGAGTGTCTTCTTCCAAGGACACCAGGAGAGTGACGGAGGTAGAGAGTGGTGGGCTACCACTGTCCTTTACCACAATGACCAGCTTCTGCGGTGGGAGATCAGCTGGGATGGGAACAGCTGTCCGCACCTCTCCGGCATAGCGGGAGACTGCAAACAGGCTAGGATCTGGGGCCTCCAGGAGCTGATACGAAACCCAAGCATTGTAACCTGAATCCAAGTCCACAGCAGTCACCTTTGTGACTAGGTGGCCAGCACCAACTGATGGAGGCAGTGCTTGGGGACATAAGGAACCAGGCCGAGCCCTAGGGCGGAGTACAGCTGGGGCATTGTCATTGAGGTCCAGCACAAACAGACGAACTGTCACAGTGCTACTAAGGGGCGGGTTGCCCCGATCCCGGGCTTGCACCTCAAACTGCAGTGTCTGTGTTTGCTCATAGTCAAAGGATCGAGTAGCATGAACAGCTCCTGTCTGGGGGTTCAGAGAAATGAAGGAGGATGCTGACACATCTCGATTTCTGGGCTCGAGGAGAGAGTAGGAGATAAGTGCATTCAAGCCAGAGTCGGGATCAGAGGCTGCAAGGGAGCAGAGCAGGTCCCCTGGGCGATTGTTCTCTGGAACAAACACCTCATGTGACCTTTGGAAGAAAGAGGGTGGGTTATCATTCACATCCGAAATGTTAAGGAAAATGGTCCTGTGGGTACTCAGAGGAGGGCTCCCGGCGTCAGAAGCAGTGACCATGATATCATAGCTGGATTTGGCCTCTCGGTCCAAGGGCCCAGCAGTCACCAGGGAGAACTGGTTCCTGAAGGCGGACTTGAGGGCGAAGGGCAAATGGTCGGGAATACGGAGGCTCACGTCCCCATTTGAACCTGAGTCAGGGTCCTGCACACTGATGAGTGCCACCACAGTGCCAGGCTCCGCACTCTCAGGGAGAGTCCCCAGCTCTGAGGTCACTGTGATGTGGGGGGCGTTGTCATTCACATCCAGGAGATCCACCCGAAGGCTGCAATGTTGCTCCATGGCTGGAGAGCCCCCATCTCGAGCCCGCACATCAAATTCATAGTAATTCTCGCTCTCAAAGTCTAGGGGTCCTTGAAGGGTAAGCTTTCCATTAGTGGGGTGCAGGCTGAAGAGGGTTCTCACACGATCAGGGGTGTGACCACTGAAAGAAAAGGTGACGTTACCACTGGGACCCAGGTCTGGGTCAGAGGCATTGAGCTGGATGAGCAGCATGCCGGCTGGCGCGCTCTCCAAGACGCTAATCCTATAGCTGGATTGCTGGAAGGCTGGGGCGTTGTCATTCACGTCCAGCACTGACACCCGCAGCTC